TTTTCCGCCAAATCATCTCCGATAAAATTGATCTTAACATATCCCTCAAAACTCCCGATGACCTTGATAGTGCCGTAAATTCCTTTACTACCACAATCCAACAAGCCGCCTGGACTGCTTCCTTCCCAAAAGACTCCTCCAGAATTCCTAAAAAGACCATTCTACCCCAACACCTCCTTGACCTAATCCAAACCAAACGCCGTGCCAGATTATTGTGGCAACGTACCCGACATCCTACCGACCGCTGCTCCTATAATTATTACTGCAAAAAATTAAAACTGGAATTAGCCACCTTCAGATCACATTCCTTCAACTCCTACCTATCCTCCCTTTCTTCTCGCGACAATTCCCTTTGGAAAACCACTACCAAAATCTTAAATCCTCACCGCATTTCCCATCCCCTCCGACGAGATGATGGCTCCTGGGCAGCATCTGACGAAGATAAGGCTGAGGAGTTCGCCATTCACCTATCCAATACATTTATTTCACATCCGGAATCCCATCCTGCCCACACCGTAACAGTAGAAGAACTCCTTACATCACCAATCCCACTTTCCTTGCCCCCAAAAGCTATTCATCCTTCCGAAGTGAAATTTCAATTAAAAAAATTAATCCCCCGTAAAGCTCCTGGACATGATCTCCTTACCCCTCAAATCCTTCGACAACTTCCATCCAAAGCAGTCATATTCCTTACATATATCTACAACTGTATCCTACGCACCACCCACTTTCCTCTGCTATGGAAACACTCCACTATTATCCTTTTCCAAAAACCAGGCAAACCTCCCAATATCTCAACATCCTATAGACCAATTAGCCTACTCCCAATCCTTTCAAAAATTTTTGAAAAGATCCTTTTGAAACGAATCCTACCCATTATAGAATCCCAAAATATTCCTTCCCATCAGTTTGGTTTTCGCTCCCAACATTCCACTGTTCAACAAGGACTCCGAGTTGTTGATCATATTTCCTCAGCCCTAGAAAACAAGGAATACTGTTCGGGTGCATTTCTGGACATTGCACAGGCATTTGACCGGGTATGGCACTCCGGACTGCTCTTCAAGCTTAAAATCCATTTACCTCAGTCCTTGTACCTAGTCCTCCGATCCTACCTCTCTGACCGCTCCTTCCGAGTTCGCTGTGGAACAGAATTTTCCAATATCTACTCCGTTAAAGCCGGTGTTCCCCAAGGCAGCGTCTTGGGTCCCGTGCTTTACATCCTCTTTACTGCTGACATCCCTGTTCATCCCGATACTTTTCTTGCAACATTCGCTGACGACACCGCAATCTTATCATCCAACTCTGATCCCAACATAGCATCCTTAAATCTCCAAAACCACCTCACCTTGATTGAGCACTGGTGTAATAACTGGCGCATTAAAGTTAATGAATCTAAATGCCAACATATTACCTTTACACTCCGACGCAGTTCCTGTCCACCAGTACACTTTAATTCCATCCAGCTTCCTTACTCAGACACAGTCCGGTATCTTGGCTTTCATTTAGACCGAAGACTAACGTGGAACCCACATACTAGACTCAAAAGACAAGAACTCAACCGACGATACGGCCAGCTATACAGACTACTAAACAGAAAATCCAAACTTTCTATTGAAAACAAATTACTTATCTACAAGACAATACTGAAACCTATATGGACATACGGACTTGAACTGTGGGGGACAGCAAAAGCTTCTAACATCAAACGTATTCAATCCTTTCAATCTAAAGTCCTTCGAACAATAGTTGATGCTCCGTTCTATGTAAATAACAAAATCCTACACCATGACCTTAATATCCCATTTGTCCTAGACCTTATTCCAGAAAAATTCTCCAAATTTCACCAAAACCTTACCTATCATCCAAATCCCCTTGCACAATCTCTATCCAGCACCACCCATCCTTACAATCCTCCTCGAAGGTTGAAGCGGCAGTGGCCCAGAGACCTTTTGTAAATAAGCATCTATTGGAGTTTTGGCAATGGCCAGATCCTCCACTCAAGCCCGAGTGTGTATGATTAGGTTAGTTCTTTTGTTTATATACATTTATTTTATTTTATTGTATTTATTTTTATTTTATTTTATTGTATTTATTATTATTAAGTTTCTGTATTATTTACTTTTTTATTTATTGTAAATAGAGTGTGAGTGTGCTTTCTCTGATCACTATTATAAATGTCCTTGATGTGACAGAATGTAATATTTCTAAATAAACAAATAACTGTTGTTCAAAAAAAAAAAAAAAAGTTTTTGAGGTTTTTCATAAACTGTCTCTCTTGTCTTTCACAATTTTTTTCTTTATGTACTTCTCAATGGTATTTTATTTGCCCGGTTATTAATCTGTTGTGTGAATCAAAATGGAAATTTTGTTTTATTTTAATATATCTTCACAAAGGTTTTTCCTAGCGAAGATATAGTCTTTTTCATGCATAACGTATAATCAGACTTGCTGAAGTCAGACGAAAATATGGCTGAAACATCCAGCATTTCAGCAATCATTTCCTGCTAACTTGTCCATTCCTTTCTCTAATTCTTCCTTACTGATAACTTCACCTTCATCAAAATAAACTCCCATAGCGCCTACAACCCTGCCGTTTTTCCACTGATTAAATGCATTTTATTGGTATTATTTTCTTATTATTAGGGTATTATTTTCTAAAGAACCGTTTCAAATATTTTAAAAAACAATTAGTGATATAGAAAGAGAAATGTATTCTATGCATGTTTTATTTTGGGTGTTTTTCGTTATTGGCTGTTTAATTAAAAACGACGCTTGATTTTAAATCTTTTTTTTTTTAAATTGACTTTACTGTTTTGTTTTTTATTGCTAAGGCCAATTATTTTAAATATTTTTTTATGTTTTATTATTCTCTGACTATCTAGCTTTAATAAAAGGCCAATAATTACGAAATTAAGCCAACTGCTGAATATCAGTGACCGGAAAATTAACTAAAGTCGAAGTCGTATGGGAGATGAGAGTAGAGATGGTTGGCCGTGATTATAATATGAGAAGGAGATGGTCGGGTGGTGCGATCAAATAAATATTATATTCTAAAATAGTATTTTATTGTTGAAGAAAATAGTATTAAAGTCGAAGTCGTGAATCTATCATGTTTGGACGCCATTAGGGACAATGCGTTCACTTTTTTGGAGGGAATATTGGCTTTTTTATAAATAATTACTAGGAACACAATATGCAATTTATTGGGATGTGGGAGGGGGGGCTGAGAGGGGAGGTGCAGGAGGTGCATGGTAGGAGGTCTGGTCCACTGTTTATATGATTTAAAAAAATATTTTTCTATTTTGGGAGGCTTCAGCACGAAAGCTTTCTCCTCCCCGTGAGTTTACCAGTGGATACGGTTGACACTACGGTATTATAAAAAACAAGTTTGTTTATTAAAAATCAAAAATGATAATTCAAATAGTGACATTAATACTTGTACTATATTACTTACGGAAAAGATAATACGTTCTGAAATATAAGTAAAAATTTGTTTTACTACCTCACCAACGAAGGTAGGGAAGCATTTTATTTGTGCGAGAGGTTAAAAAGGCTGTATTCAGAATCGAAAATTTCCACTCGCGTTTTAAGTTCCATACATCAAAGAACAAATTTGGTCGGCATCTGTCTTTCTTTCTGTAGTCAAATCGATGTAACGGGCGTATCGACTACTATCATTTATGCGATTTTCGGTATTGATAAAAAAAAATGTAGCAACAATTTTATTGAATTCCATCCTTTAATTTCTATTATATATGTGCAAACGTGTTTTGAGGTTAACCAAATAATTAATACAAAGGTACACAAAGCCTAACCAGAATGAGAGGGACAAAAATTAAAAACTGGTCTCCTTTTTTGTCTTTATGATAATACGATTCAAGTTTTATAAACATATTTTTTTTCTCGATTTCTCTAAACCAGAAGATACCTAACCAGTCTTTTGTTTATATTATTTTAGCCCATGTACTACAATTATATAAAAAATATATAATATTTTTTGTACTTGAAAATGGAAGTATCTACCAATAGATACATCACAAACCATTTGTTTTTTTTTAATGAAAATTCGCGATATACATTAATGAGACGCGTTATACATTAGTGAAACTTTTTAACAAGATTGGCGGTTAATCTTCTCTCTTCTTTTTACCTCCATCTCCCTTCTCCTTCTCATTAATGAAGCTCTGATTCTTGGAAATCAATCTTAACCTTACACCACAGGCGGATCTACGGAGGAGAGGGGCTTTCAGGCTGAAGCCTCCTCCTCCCAAAACAGTAACTGTAACCATGTTTTATGGTAAAAAATATTAAAACATTATCTCTTAAAGTATTATTGTTCGCATAATTACATTTATTTGGATTTCAAGAATCATTTAACACTATTTCATATAGGTAGTTTCTTTCTTTTTTTTCCCTAAGTAATTATTATTATATATGTATGTAAAAAAAAGCTTTCGGGCTGAAGCCCCCCAAAATTAAATTCTGGATCTGCTACACCATCAATGAAAATCTCAACATCAACACCAATCTCAAACATCCCTTAGACCGTCTTTCAGACTGACAGTGTTGGCTACGTATTATTGACATACCAAGGCTCGAATAAGGTAGTAATAATATTGCTTATAATTCCCTGGTTGAGGCTAGCAAGAACGATAAACCAAAGAAACTACTAACAACACATTTATTTACTTAAGTGATAAAAATTACTAAATTTTCGTTTGTTTGTCTTGTTAAAAAGTTTTATATCTACACAGCACCTACCTCTTTGGTACATCAATACTTCTATAACATCCAATGTAACCTATTTGCGCTATCAACAGATAATATTCAAGTTTCAATTTTGTTTGGATTTCATTCTTGAATTTATAACAATCCACAAATCCAATAGAAAGCTTACTTGTATGTTTTCCATCAAGAAAAGTTCTAAAAAATGATTTCAGATAGAAAATATTGTTTAATTACAATTTGACATAATTATTTTTTTTATTTTCTGCATCATTGCAAATATCAACCATACCGAGGTGAAAAAAATATTGAATAATGTCTTGTCAGGTTTGTTTTTCTAAGCTCAGAACAGAAATGACTATTTTATACGTTTATTCTTGTTACAAATATTATTAATGGATATTCATGTTTTATGATATATAATTATCAATTTTGTTTTATCTGAATAATGTTATTAATATTATTTTCTGGAACTAAACTGAGACATTTCTATGCAGGTGCAAGAAACTAATGATTATAGTATTGCATCAAAACATTCTATGGTGCATAGAGGATATTTTATTGATGATTTTATGCAATATCTCTCTCCTAAGCTGAAGAGAAGATCACCATTAATTAATATTGGATATTATGTTCGAGCTGTTGTTGTGAATGAGGGTATAAAATTATTTCTGACACTAGAGCCTCAGGTCGAATGTCAGGTAATCAATATTCAATTTAGGATAAAATTACCTGTGGTATTCCATGATTATTACTTAATGCTATTATATGGTTCAGTTTAACTTGAAAAGTTTCTCATCATAGGCTGATGATTTCATTCTACTCTGCTATTTATTAATTTTGCAAATATCCTGTTTGAATTGCAATAAGCTATGACATTGGTTTCCTATAAATGGTGGGTAGATGACCATATGAATCTGAAAAACATCTGAAATTTATGTGAAAAAATAAAGTGCTAATAAATAAATAAAAAAATACAACATATATCCAAATTTTCTACTAATCTAGGTAAAACATAACGGTTGGTAGGAGAAAGGGTAATATCTTAAATTGTATTCAATTTTTCTTAAAGTTTTTGTCAGCTCTTTACAGTGACTATAAAATATATGGGAAGTTGTTCAAGTGCCATTTCCTGGTTTTCCAGGTCGATTGGCATTTACAGTTTCGTTCTGTTGCTGTGGGTAGTAACTGGATGTTATAAAGTCCTGTCTAAAGCAGAAAGAAGTTTTTATATTGAATGTAAAGTTTCTGAAATTAGTATGTCCAAACGGTATATACAAATACTCTGACCAAAAAAAGTATTCGTACACCATATGTTTTAGCCAAAAAAATGTTTATTTATATTTTCTACCCCTAAAGTTCCAGTACCAGTACCTAAAGTAAAATTTTATAACTCATATTGCATGAAAAATATCAAAATTTTCAAGATGAAGTGCAAAATAATATTCGTACATTTCACTAACCCAAAGAAAATATAATAAATATCAATCTCAATTAATTTTAATATTTTGTAAGGTTCCCTTTCATGTTTATCACAATATTGAGTCTCCTTGGCATCGGTTCCACAGGCCTCTTGGTCTCTGGTCCAATTTCTTCCCAAGTTATAAGATTGTTTATTAAGTCATTCCGAGAGCCCCCAGCAGCGCCCATAAATTTTTAATTGGATCAAGATCCGGCAATTGTGTGGATGTTTTGAGAATTTTTCGAACATTATACAGCAACAATTGTTTGGTTTTATGGCCGTGTGCTTATTCTTTTTTCTATTCCTAACTTTCTCACACTCTTTTTAAATTGTATTGCAACACGTTCACATGTTTGTCAGCATTCATAATTCTGTCAATAAAAGTTAGTTCACCAACTCCTGTGGCACTCATGGAGCTTCAAACTATGACACTGTCCCTTCCGTTATTCAGTGTGGGTTGTAGATTTTGGGATTCAGATGCATTTCCTTTTTTCCTCCAAACATATTTTTTCTGTCAGATCCTAATATATTATACTTGCTTTCATTTGAAAACAACACATTTTCCCAAAACATGTTGGGTTTATTTACATGTTCTCATTAAAATTCCAGTCTTTTTTTTTTCTGTTTCTTTTGTTTATAGAATGTATTTTTCTTACCGCTGTATCTCTATAGCCAGCTTCATTTAGCTGATTCCTCATGGTTTGGGGTATTACAGATTTCCCATAAGCTGACGGGATGTGAGCCAAAAGCTCTCTAGCAATTAATTTGGGATGTTTTTCACGAGATTCTCGCACTGTCAACAAGTGTTTTCTCTCTGGACGGTTTATTGTTCACTGATCCGGATTTAAATATTTTTATAATGTATTTCACTGTAGTATGAGGTAGTCTGACATTTTTTTCCAATATGTCGCAAACTTAAACCCTGTTGAAAATATTTTACAATCTTTAAGATGAAAACTATATTCTTTGGATGTACAAGCCATTGCCGAAGAAATATTTTTTAGTAATGAACTAAACAAGCAATTTCTTGTGCAGTTTTATCCTTTAATCCTCAAGGAAGTAACGGATTGTAAGTAGAACGTTGAAACACTTTTTTAATAACATTAATTATTGTGTAGTTATATATAAATATGTATGTACATATAAATAAGTATATTCATTTCTGCTCTTTCCTGGTATTGCAACAAGGCATTTTTAAATAGAAAGATGACAGGTATGCACTTCCTCAGCAATCATTGTGGCACTTGGTCTTGATGCTTTCATTGAGCGGAGAAGAACCGCTCTGCAGTTTTAAAATCACAATTTTTATCGAGTATGAATACAGAGTTGAGACTCCTCTCGATGAGTACATCCATCATGGGCTAGCTAAAGCTACTCACTTATTTTCTATTCTTGTCTCTTTATATGCTGATAGTATGGGCAATGTTATCTAAATATTGATATGTTCATAAATATGTGTTTGCTCACTCCATTTAGGGTGTATCTTTTCTATGTCAATTAGTTATAAAATTCAAAAATGTTATTTTAAATATGAAAATATTTATAACTAATTTTAAATATTGTTTTAGATTGTTTCCTTAGGAGCTGGATTTGATACTACTTTTTTTCGGCTTGTTCAAAAACATGAAAATATAAAATATTTTGAAATAGATTTTAGTGATGTGGTCAAAAGGAAAATAAGTTATATTAAAAATAATGAAAATGTTATAAGTAAACTAATTTCTCCTCAAGGTATTTTAAAATTATTTTCTCTCTGAATTTTGCGTTTTTGTTGTCTATTATTATAATAACATTTTATATAGAAACTTCATTTGGACTAACAAGTAAACATTACTCTATAATATCCCAAGACATGACTAAAATTGAAGAATTACAGTCTGTTCTTACTGGCATTGGATTCGATGTTGGAAAACCAACTTTATTTTTCTCTGAATGTGCGATAACTTATATGCCAGAAGAATCGTAAGTATTATTAACATGCATTATGTAAATTGTTCTCTTATTATTTTTTTATTGTTTTTCTCTATTTGTTACTTTTTTCAAAAGCTTTAATTTACTTCTCATTAGTGTTGTTCTATTGTGTTTTTGTTTAATTAATAATAAATATTGAAAAATTATGTTCATTATTACTAACTCTTTACATTTTAATAATTTTCTTGGTTTGTTACATATCACCTTCAAATAATTCAAATTTTACATATTTTAATTCCCTTTTTCCAATTGGTACCATTTTGAAATGACCTTGCTTTGAGTTGGCAGACTGGTACAAATTGAATGCTTGAAGTTACAAAATTTAGACTATATTTAAACTTCTTTTCTCCATAAGGCAATATATAGTGATGCATGGGAAAAACTGTTTTATGAAAGTTCCTTCCGTTATTTGTAGTGACTGTGAACGATATTTGAAGGAAGTTATATTAAATCAATTGTATAATGATTTCCTGATTCATCAATGTTTATGGTTGCTACTCTTTTCATATGGGCCATTGCTTGATGTTATACAGTTTTAAGCCTTCCTCTATGAACAGTCAATTTAATGTGAACAAAAATTTTGAAATAGGACTGGTAGTTCTTGAAATTAGCATATTCAAATAAGTAAACTATCTGCTTTATATGTCAGTATGAGCAAGTTTCTAAACTCAATGGTAATTCCATTTATGGAATCCATTAATCGATTGAATCCATGAATGAATGGACTGTGATTTATTTTGAGTTTATCAATGACCTGCTGGAATAAGTGGAAGTTTGACTCTCCTGGAAGGTAACTAAACACATTACAAATAAAAAACTCTACCTACTGATTTTTTTTATTTTAAAACTGAATTAGATAGAAAGTAAACTAAATATAATTATAATGATGTAGAGATGGTTGACCGTGATATAATATGAGGAGTAGATCGTAGGAGGGGGGGAGGGGAGAGGGAAAGATGTGGTATTTTTTAATAATTCTTTTTTTTTTAATCTAGTATTTATTTGACCGCACTCCCCGACCAACTTCTTCTCATAAATATAATTATGTTATGTAAGATGAGAAATAATATGAAGTTACATCCATTGACCCTACTAGCCGATGGAACTGCTGAGCATAACGGATCAAACAGAGTCAATCCAAAGATGCCAGGCATAACAAAAAAAAAGTGACCTCGATACACTGGAAGCCAAAGTCTGAACTCTAGAGTACATTAAATTGCCAAAACAAATGGACGAGGTTATACACAGATGGGTCTGCTGAAAATGCCATTGCAAATGGAGGAGGGGACATCCATACTGAATTACCCAATGGATATGTTCTCCATAAAGCTTTCCTCACTGGACTCATCTCAACGAACTATAGAGCCGAGCATGATTCCATTTTGATTGCAGCCATAATCCAAAAGAGTCTTATGAGGTACCCACTCTCATTTATTGTGTTCCTGACAGATGCAGCATCCATTCTTGAATGCCTGAATCATAAATGGAAGAATACACAAGGTACATTAGCTGAGGAACTGAAAGATCTGATAGTGCAGTACCAAGAGGTGGTTCTACAATAGATTCCAGAACATTGTAGGCTTGTGGGGAATGAAATTGCAGATCGATCGGCTAAAGAAAGAACATTGCTCCCTTAAATTAACAGTATCTCTAGATTGGAGGAGTGCAAAATTATTAATAAAGCAGCCGTAAGACAGAGGTTGAAAGCAAGTCACCCAAATCATAATCCCCATGGCGATTATTTCAAGCTAACCAGAAGAGACCTAGTTATCATTTTTTGCCTCAGAACTGGACATAGCGGCCTAAAATCACACCTTTTCAGGAAGATAGGACCCAGCCCCCTATGTGAATGTGGCCAAAATAAACGAACCACAGAGCATGTTCTGCAGAACTTTCAGCATTTGGGGGGTATATGGCCTCGACCTACAGACCTTGGGACCAAGCTGTTCAGAAGTCTGGATGATATAAGGATTAATTTTTGTTTTTTTACAACCTGAAATAGCCATATAGAGGAAAGAATGAAGAAAAAGAACTGCTGAGCCATTTATGATTCATTTGATGAACAATGTGACGAGCTGAATCAATGAACTCAGCACTGAGTTTAGAGACTCGCCTGATGTCTGAAGAATGTTGTGTCTATTATATCTAATAATAATTGTAAGTATTATATTTTATTTTTATTTTTTTTCAGGTCAACAAAAATCATACATTGGGCTTCTGGACTAGAGAATGTTATGTTTATGGTGTATGAACAAATAAATCCTAATGATGGTTTTGGAAGAGTAATGATAAACCATTTTTCTACTATTGAGAGCCCTTTAAAATCTGTTGAAAAATACAGGACGAAAGAAGATCAAATATACCGGTATAAATCATGTGTATGTTTTGTTAAAATTATAGATGGCAGTGGCTTGATACACTCTATCTTTTATATTTTTACAATAGCGGTAAAGTATGATTTTAAAAAGTTTATTGAAAGAGATAAAAAGATTCACCTCATCTTCTTACATCTCTCTGTATTATTGAGCTCCTGGTAACTTAAAGAATATGGGATATTTACCAATATGTAAATATGCACTAATATATGAATATGTACCAAATTGGGAACCCTGTTCAGAATAATGGCTGTGTATTAGTCGAAAAACATATTTATCTATAGACTGCATTGCCAAAAGAGCCGTTTTGATGATATTATGAAAATGTAATGCTGTGCAACATGGCATTACAATCTGGTGCCAAGCATAGTACACACTAGTAGACCATGTTGCATGATTTGTTTATAGACCATCTATGGATGGTCTCAAGACATGATCTATAGACTGTCTAGAGACCCCGTTCTTTTTCTCATCTAGCGTCTGCACTACGATGTGAATTTCTCGGTCTCATCTTCGCAATTCACCATGCAGGACACTGTTTTGTAAGGAATTTCGTTCCTGCTTAGTGCAAATTACAAGTGAAAGAATGTGAAAACATAAATTTTGGTGGATGCGCTAAGTGCTCGCTGAAGTACCTCATTCAGTAATCCATTATTAAATAAATTAAGACTGGAAGACGCCATAGTAATCCTCAATTAATTTTAAAACTTTCTCGTTAGATCACATGTTTTCAAAAGAATTGTAAAAGTTTGGAAAATAACTGCATACAGCCAAGCCAACCACTCGGTAGCTGGAAATAGACGTTTTTTTTTTGTTCTCCTCTACCTCATCTTTTAGGCTATACAGGAGTTTTCCCAGGTCAGGAGGTAAAGGAGGAGGAGGGTTAATGCCAGAGTTAAAAGACCCCCTTGGCACCAGAACGTGAACTCGGTATTATTTTATCACACAATCTTCTGTCTGGGTTGCCAGGCAATGCGTGGTGCTCTGCAAACATGTTAGCCCCCTCTGCCATCCCCGCCTCCTAGCTGGAAACAGACTGAGACATGTCTCGTCTCTGGAGGCTAAGTGACATCCACATTGTCAAAATGTTGCGCAACATGCCTAATATTGCATGCAGTTTCCCATTCCGATCGGGAGATTTTAGATCTGTGATTTTTGGTCTCACAATTGGCCCATAGACGCGGATTGATCTATAGACCTGTCTATGTAGACAACCTAGAAACATCTCATAAACCAAATTCACACAATATGTCTACTAGTGTGGACTAGGCTTAATTTCATTGCATTGTGGTTGCCCTTCAGTTATCAGAAGTTCAAGTTAAGCCTGGCATCTTGCGCCGTTTCATCTGTCCATAGCAATCTCCATCTTTCTTCTTCCTTCTTGCATCATTTTATCAAAATTAAGACTTAGTACTTGTGTAACCATGTTTTTTTACATAACATTTTTTTTCATCGTGATAAAAATGAGCATGTCTCCACAGCCCAAAACAGCATTTATTGGTATTGATAAATATTTTATTTATCTCCAAAGATACAAGATTATATGTTATTATAGTTCTTACGAGATAAATAAAATAACCCACCTTCTGGAACTTTTTCAGAAGAGCCTATTTCTACAAACATCTGGGTTCATTCCTATACCCATCTCCACAGCCACCTATTTCAGAGATAAGAAATTTTCTTTAAATGCTAAACCAGGGAAAGCGATTAAGTCCAAATCATCTGCATAGCCGAATAAATGTACAATCCTGTTGTGAATTGTGTTATTTGTTTTGATTTTTTACTTATATTTCTTAAATAATATAATTAAATTTTAGGGATTCACTGATAGCTACAGTGTCGGAGCTTTTGAAATATACAACAAGATATTATCACAAGAAGAACACAAAAGAGTATTGAATTTGGAACCTTTTGATGAGTGGGAGGAGTGGCACTTAACTTCAAGTCATTACACTTTGTCTGCCGCCACCAAAGGATTATTCGAAAAGGCATCCAAATTTTTTTCATCTTTCTCTACATCTCGTGGTTAGTTTACTGTTGCAATGCTCATGTATTCTTTATTTATGTGTTCTTGTTGACTAGTATATATACAAATAAAACATTAACTGTATTTAATAAAAAAAAAAAAAATCAGGTAGGACTTGACTAAACATAATATTTAGCACCCAAACATGACCATATGAAAAACAATAATATTCTTTCTATTCTTCAGGATCATACTTGTTTTCTAACCATAAGATGTATTTTAGAAACTCCCGCTTCCCTGCATACCTTTATTAGTTCTCTAGAAATATAATCATTACCCACTGCTTTAATTCCATAACTACATAGCTCATAACTCCGTATGGGGAGCAGTAAATAAATACAACTGTTTTGAATTGATGTACTGCCTCTGTTTCATTAGTCTTTTTAAGACCAATGATGTGAAATGAGCTATCATTGTTTGGATCTATGTTATCTTATCTGTCTGAATATACTAATGTCAGTATCTGATGCTGCCTGGAGAGCAGGGTAGCTCAGTGGGTGAGCACTGACTTCCAAAGCCCAAGGTCCCAGTTTTGAATCCAGCTGATGACTAGTAATTTTTCATCAGCAGTGGATCGACCCTGGGGTCGGGAGACCCTTCTGGGATACACCCAGTCTCTATAAAGTGGATACTCTTTAATTATATAATTAATTAATAGGAAAAACCTTACGGTTTAACGTGATCTCGGCCCAATCACCTCCCTGCACTACCATTTTACGTTTTACCTTTCAGGATAAGTAGAATTCCAAAAGTGAATAAATATTTGTTGTCCATCCGCCATCCACGCATTTTCTCCAAGACTACTGGATCGATATTTTTCAAATTCGGAATCAAAGTCAGACATCACTCATGGATAATCGTACATCGACATTACTATCCGCCCTTTCCTTTCAAGATGGGCAAAAATCCTGTCTTGATAAAGATTGTAGCAACTAAACAAATGTACCGATTTCAATGAAACTTGGCTAAAGTCTTCTTCCTCGATTATCCTTTATAAATTTTATATAACATACTTCAACGAAAAGAAGCTGGAAAAAAGTTATGAGGGGTGGTAAAATTAGATTTCCAAATAATTTAAAAAGTATACACTTTTTTGTTGATATTTTATGGTTACTTAAAAGTTTTCAAATTTTCCTAAAAAATACAACAAAAAAATCGTTGAAATTCGGAGCAAATATATGGTGTTCTAGATATTTTTCATATATACTACTTCATATAAACAAAGGTTATATCCTTTGTTTTGGTTTTTAACTTTTGAAGGTGTTACTGATGCAATGATATTTTTCTTAGCAAATTACTTATGATAAAAAATATTTAGGCCAATAATAGGAATAATCTTTTATTTATTTTTCTTTATGATCATTGGAAGGTAATGTTACTTTAGATGTAACATTGTTTGGAAATAATAAACCATTGTGTAGTAATTTGCAGGCTTTTTTTATTCTGGTGATGCCTGAAATGCCAAAATGTTGACTGGTAATTCAGTTATTGGTATTTCAGTGTTATTATTATATTATACTTATCATTATATTATATTATATTATACACTGTCTCCTTCCATACAAAACCCGTCAACTGATGTTTCCTGTTTTGATTTCTCCCACTTCGACTATGGTTGTATGGTGTATGGTGGACTCTCGGGAGAACTAGAAGCCAAACTTAAACGCCTAATATTCTTCAGAGCCTACAATTCAAATCCTCCATTCAATCCCGTCCGACCAGATCCCATACTTCTGACCTCTATCCTCCTCCTCACTGAACTGCTGTGTTTGACAAATCCTTTGTAATTCAAGCCGTCTCCTTTTGGAATTCTATTCCTTCCGATATCCGACATGCACAATCAGTTTCCTCATTCAAATCTCTCCTTTTTAAGCACCTACTTCTTTCCCAATCCAACTGATCACAAAATGTTCATAAGAGAACTTCTTAAGATCCCCAGAAACCATGTTGTTTACTTATGTTATTTTATTTTCCTTTGGCTATTCTATATATGTATATACTTGTTCTTTTTTCTTCCTATATTTTTATTTTTAATTAGATATTATTTTGAAAATATTTAATTTAATGTATGGCCACACAGGCATTTTCTTAGTATTTATACTTTGTTCTAAAGGGACAACGATCCCAGGATAATAAAAATATTTTCATTTCATTATTTTTTTTAATCTTCTTTTAGTATCATGATTACGTAAATACCTAAATCTCATTGCAATTATCTGTAATTATTAAATATGTAATAGCAATATATTTGTAAATACGGACAAGGTAATTTACCATTTAGTCTATAGAAAATATATTTTTTCATTTAAAAAATCTTTTCTTTTCAGATTTTGTGCAGTATGATTCCACGCTTGGATGGGATGCCTTGATAGAATTGGGGTTAAAATTATATGCACATTCTGCATTGCCAATTTGGAATTCAGACGCAGTATTGATAATTGGCGGATTTGGAATATCTAATGATAGCAAACATAAGAGGATGGAACAGATGGGATTGTTGAATTTGAAAACTATGAAGGTAAATATTTATGTACTGTAATGATTTTTCATGTGTAACATTTACTTTTATTCTCATTGTTGGAAAAAACTGACAAATACCACTGCAAGCCCTCCTGAAGTGTCTTCGGTTCAGTGAGGAAGCATTGTTTTAGAACATCTGTTGTGCACAGAGTTGATCACACTCTACTACAAGGCTTTCCCCCAATTTAACGGTACCCATTTTGTACCCCAGATACCGTTTTTTGCTATTGCCAGGTACCCCACCTTTAAAAAAACTGCCTTCTTCACTAAGCTTTAACTCCATTTTAATCAAGTTGAGGTTTATTACGAAATAGGTTGAGATTCACTTCAATTTCTATAAAAAATTGAGGTTATTTGATATACTTTATCCTTGTTTTCAGGAAAAATCACAACAATGAATAATAGCATTAATTTTTTTTTTCATTACCTGGGATGTGTTTTAATTAACATTACTGCCTAAATACGCATTTTATTTTGAACAAAAACAGTTTAAAATAATGATTTTTCAAATATTTATCATTTAAAGTGATAATAAACTGTGGTTTTTTTTTTTTTTACCAAGATCTCTATTATAGCAATAGATGCATATTTATAAGCGATCAACTAAATGTTCCTATTCATAATATTTATGTTTTCATGAAAATAATTCAAGCAGTCATTAAGTTTCTTTATTTTAAATGTAAATATTATGATTAATACTCACTTATAAATACAGATCAATCCCTATAATAGAGATCTTGGTAAAAAACACAGTTTCAATATTAAATATTGAAAATACATACTTTCTCATTATCCGTTCCTACCTTACTGATAGATACTTTAAAGTAAATCACAACAATGTCTATACATCCCACTTTTCCCAGTCTGCAGGTGTTCCTCAAGGTAGTATCCTAGGTCCTATCCTTTACACAGTTTATACAGCTGATATCCCAACCCATCCCGACACTGTCATCACCACATATGCTGATGACACATGTATCCTATCAGTTAATAACGACCCATCTATTGCATCCCGAACCCTTCAATCCCACATCACAAACCTTGAAGAATGGTGTCAGAACTGGAGAATTAAAATAAATTCCAATAAATCCCATCAAATTACATTCACTCTTCGCCGTAAACCAATGATTTCCTGTCCTTCAGTATCCTTTAACAACACCTCACTTATTCCTGTTGAACAAATCTATTACCTAGGACTCCATCTGGACAAACGTCTAACTTGGAATCCTCATACCAGACTGAAACGACAAGAAACAGCTCTACGTTTCCGACTACTTCAACACTTACTAGACAAACGCTCTAACCTTCCAATCAATTATAAAAGACTAATTTACATGACCTGTTTGGACTTTCAGAGTTGAGCCAGAGTGCTCCACTAAAGGATCGAATTCCTCTCGTATCCAATCCTTACAATCCAAAATCCTTCGTAAAATCCTGAATGCTCCTTACTTTGTTACAAATAAAATTATCCATAATGACCTTAATGTTCCTTATGTATCAGATTTGGCCCAACCCTCTTGTCTCTAACCTTGCTTCCTATTCGATTCCTGATAACCCTCCGAGGCATCTGAAAAGAACATGGCCACGTGATCTTCTAATATAGACATATTATTAGAGTGCTACCAATGGGTAGTTTCTCAACATGTGTTCCATGTCATTATATCCATATGCGAATTTACCAGATGTATTTTTTTCTATACAGTTGTAAATATCATATAAATAAATAATAATAAAAAATAAAATATTGAAAATAAGTCTATATTAATGAAGTTGAGGTTTATTAGGAAATAAGTATTAATTTATCTCTTTTCATCATCTTTTATCTCAAATTGTAAACAAAATGAGGCGATTTAATATCCTGTTATCTAAAAGCACTCATGTTTTCAGCAAAACTGATTACAGTAAATTATTGCAAAGGTTTAATTTTTCCATTCTCTGTATACATTACGATATTCATAAATACACTTTTTATTTATTAAAAAGCTTATTAAGCAAGGAAGTTATTTAAAAGTGAGATATCTGTAGTATAGTTGGAGGGTATAAAAAAAATCATGGATAATTCATGATTTTTTTTAAAACAGAACTTAGTTTATCCGCTCAAAAAACCTCTTTAAATGGTGTTTAAGTAACTTTCCAAATTTAATTATTAAAAACAGGCAAATAGCTCTAATGAGTTCAACATAGGCAACATTAGACTTATTTTGGCAGTGGACTGTATTTTGATGAAATACATAGACATCTTATTTAACTGAGAGGGCCCTCCAGTCTGCTCTAGTTGATGCCTCTGTGGATATCTGCGATGGAATGAGCGGAGAGCATCTTGTAGCTGGCGTGGATTAAATTTTATCTTTTAGATCTTATCTGATCTGTTTTCACTATTGCTGCAATGCGACAAACATGTATAATAGCTTTCACACAAAACAAATGGTTTTACAACAATGACAAACTCTACTTTCATTTGAAGTAAAGTTTTTGTCTAGTTTACTGTGAAATAATTAGTAATTACTTAAATCAAATATTTTTTTAGTAATGGATTCCTATCCATCATAAAACGTAACTTACTTAAAAAAACAGAAAACTGGACCATTGTTTAATATATAAACTTTATTGTAGCTCTTGAGATCTACTATCATCCCATTAAATTTATAATTAAATGCTGTTTTCCTTTATTTACAAGAAACTGTAGTAGACATCCCCCGGTATTTACTCCTTTATGTGACATTGTGTGAGGGAATATATATGGGAATGTGAGGTTATACGATGAATTGTACTCAATTATGCAGTGGACAAATTATTCATGGAAAAGTCTCTTATCAATAAACAATCGATGAAGAAGGACGCTGGAAAAAGGTCAGAGCAGGTATCAACAGCTGGCAGAAGGACACTGAGAAGAGCACTTGAGGCTTGGACACTAAGACGAGAAGACGTTATCTGGGAAGAGAGGCTTAATACATTGAAGACTAAGAATGTCAAGCCTATAGTTATAAGACTTTTATACATTCGTTTATTACAGTTGTAAAATAAATTGTTTTATTATACAGGAGTGAAAAGTCCTTTTATTTAGTTGTCCTATATGCCTCACAACTGAAGAATAACATACCAGGTGAGTCAATTCATTTAAAGTGTATTTATTCAGTTCCACATTTCAGATGTATATATATTCTTATTATTTCTTGTCACTCAGTGCCACACAAGTATTAGGTTCCCGAATTCCGAACAACAGTTAAACACCCTCAAAAAGTCCATATCCAGTGCCGGGGTTTTGTTTTAATATTCACGAGTGTAAATAACCTAGTTCCCCAACTAAAGCGGAAGGCTATTCGCCTATTCCCGCCAAAACAAATTATTAATATTTAACTTTATTTGGTTATTTACAAAACCCTATAAATTTGTTTTTAGGTAGAGAAAATTACTCCTCCTTCGGTTGATGGAATCACATGGGATTGTTTATACCATACATGTTCATTGTTGTCGGATTCCAAAAATGAAACTTCTTTTCTCCTTTACGGTGGCAGGACTTCACCAGTGAATCAGGTTAACAAATCAGGGTTTGTTATAACAATTAAAAAAGATGGAGAGGACGTTCGAATTAGTGGAAGAAAAGTTGAGCATAACGAAAGCTATCCTGAAGGAAGAAGAAGGCATTGTGCTTTAAATGTTAATGGAGGTGTGTTCTTATGTGGAGGTCTATCGGTTGAAAAGGGTGTGCTTCTAAAGGTAAATACAAATGCTATATATTATATATATTTTTACTTTGACTTACCTATGTATGTAGTATATAGTAAGGGAAAGTATTGCGATTGTGAAAATTTTTGAATTTGAGTTTTCAATGGAAATACACGTTTTGAGGTCCATTGAGTCCAAATAACGATGTCCCACTAAAAGGTCTCTGTGTGTATGTGAACAGTCCAGCTCAAAAACGAAAACAACTTTTTCGTTAAAATTGGTTAACCAGAAGTGCCACTTTATGTAAACGCTGAAACACATTTTTGCAATTTTCTCAAAAACGGCTCTAACTCGGCGTATCATTGTATAATTAAGTGCTCTTTAATATCATTTAGGTCTTATCCCCGTTGATGTCGTTTAACCATTCTTTAATGCCCTATGTTCAAAATGCCTTCCTCTAAAGTACCTTTATTATTATTATTTTTTTTTTTTAATAATTAACTATCTCTCATTTTTTGGAGTTATAAAAAAAAGCTAAACATAACTTTTGAAAGAATTTGATAATTGAATAAAGAAAAAAAAAAAGAAAAATGCTTATCAAGACCAAAAATGAATCTCCAAAAATAATAGTCAGAAGGTATACGTATAATATATCGGAAAGCGGAGAATTTTAGAAATAATAATTTCTGACAACTAATGTTATTTAACATTTAAGTCCTATCAGGATAAAAGCTTGCTGATATTAAACATTGTTTAACTGTAAATTGATATCTAGATTTTTTTACCAAAATTTATTGAAATATTAGAATACTTATTTTTTAATTGTAAAATAAAGTTTTAAAAAATAAGAATAAAATACCTCTGGAATTAGCAGATAATTGAGAAATGTACATTTGATATCGATCATCGTTTATTGTAAAGAGAAATTGAACATTTTTGTAATTTAATTGCAAGTTGTTGGTAGACATTAAATATTCTGGAAGTTAGACCACAAAAGAAGTACAAAATCATTTGTTGTAGTTGCCTTTTTGTTTCAAAGAATTGTTTACGAGATGTGTAATTATGAAACTAGAATTTTCATGTAGAAAATACACATCTATTGCATAATGTTAGAAAATATTTCATTCAAAATATTGTCCATCACTGCATTTGTGTTAAATATTTATTTTTCCTATCTCTCTGTCAATTTATGGATGCCATGCCAGAAAAACTGTTGCTCCTTTGTGGTGAACCAGTCATCAAGCCATTTTGATATATTTTCATAATAAGTGATGCAAACAAATAGTAGTCAGACAGAGGCACTTCTGGTGAGTAAGTCAGTTGCACTAATATTTCCCAAATGAATGTGTCAGTCATTTCTTCTCTGGTTATGCTGTGTGGTAATGCATTATCATAAAAAAAAGCAAAATCGCTTTGTGCTGTCTGTTTGTTTTTTTTATTGTATGTAATACTTAATTCAAATAGATCCTTTGTTGTTGATTGCGTTCCGTATTAACAGTTTCTTTGGGTTTTAGCAGCCAGCACTTAATTGATAACATAATTTTTTTTGGTGATCGTCCACATTCTTCATGTTTCACATCAAAATCAATTTTTTTTACCACTCAAAGCACCATGATTTAACAAGAGCATGCTCATTGTAAGCTTTGAAAGAAAGAAAAAGAAATTTTATTCTGGGAAATTTAGTCTCCTAAGAATAATTGTTATGAACAAAAGGATTAAAAATTGTCTGGCATTATAAAAAAATAAGCAAATTTTTAGCTAACATAACATAATAATCTAGCCTTATAATTAAAATAAATTAAGTAATGGTATGAGTACGAGTTGATTTGTACATAAAATATAAATGAGTATGTTCACATATTTGTTCTGATTAACAATATTGATAATATATAAGTAACAGTAACATAACAGTCAAATGAGAGTGACTGGTCTTTGATACAAAATTTTATTCTTATATGTATTCGGAAGATTGATTGCTAAGGAGGTGGAAGAATAAATGTAGTTTAAATGAGGTTAAGGAAGAGGATTTAGGTATTGAGATAGGTAGGAAATTTAAAAAAAAAAAGGGAGCACGCATGATAAAGGATTTTTTAAAGGAAACAGTTCTATGAGTGGGAACAAACAGGTTAATGGACTGGGATCTTGTGTTGAACGAATGAACAGAGGGACAAGGAGTAAACAAATCAAGAAGGTAAGATGGCTTTTTGGTTGTAAAGGTTCGGAAAAGGAATACACATGATATTGCTGCCGGAAATTTGGATAGAGCGACGTCATCTCAGCATACCAACTGGAGACATGGGAGCGCCTGGCGACTCCAAAGATGAATCGAATGAAACAATTCACATGCTCAAATGCTTTGAAAAGCATTCAATACAATTCTGCAGCAGTTTTCTTTAAATAGTAACAGAAAGTAATGATGTCCAAAAATCTTAGTTTTGAATATGCACAAAACTTGACATATTCAACAATATTAAGACGATGCTGTTATATGAAATTTGTTTTGTTGTGAATTGAAATTGTTTGTCTTTGTTAGGTACATTAACAACTAGAGCCGTCTATGAATGAATTCCAGTTTCATATTTACACATCTGGTATACTCCTCAAAATGATTCTTATTATTGATTTCAATTGGTTTGGTAATTTATTATTTTATTGAATAATTTATGATGTACTGTCTTTTCTCAAGGTTCTTGATGATTCATGGCTGTTTACTCATGATGAACAGTGGGTAAAACTAGACAGTAAAATGTCACCTCGTTTTTCTCACTCAGTTACTGGTCATTGCAACCAAATTTTCATCACAGGAGGTCTGAGTCAGGAATTCGAGCCGCTGAATGACTTGTGGTCTTTTGATATATCAGGTAAAGAATAATTATTGATTACTATAGTCGCTGACATAAATTGGATCGGAAGATCCTATTTTCTCGTCAGCTAAGTTATCTATTAATTTATTTTTAATAATATGTTGTCTAATTATTATTCTAGCTAATGTGTGGACATATTACGACTTGAATATTTTACCACGATATAGCCATACTTCACATTATATCAATGACTGGATTGTTTTAATTGGAGGTGTAAACTATTTATCTGAAAATCAACCAGGAATATGTATTATAAATTTGAAAGATAAAATTTACAAGGAATTTAAGTTACCAGTAAGTTAAATGAAATGCAATGTTCGTAATTATTTCTATATTTGTATTCATAATATTATTGAACTCTTTTCCAGGAATCAAAGGAAACTTCTCCTGTAATGTTGCACAATCATTGTTCAATTTTGCTGTCTGATTTGAACTCTGTCTATGTAATTGGTGGGGGAGGAAATTGTTTTTCTTTTGGCACATCTTTCAACGAGTATCTTATTTTATTTCATTGTAATAAAATTTTAAACAGGTGATATTCTCAAATTTAATTGAGGAAATATACCTTAATATAACCCTTGCAACAATTATAAAAATCTGGTGCCCGCAACACACAAAATTCACTTACCACTCAATTTTGAATAGAAATTATTTTCTGGCCATGTTGCGCTATTATAAAATTTTTGAATTGCATTTTTAACTGAGCTAAAGCTAAAAAATTACAGCTAACAAATCATAAATAACAAAAGTTCTATTTATTATATCACCTGTTGATTATGGATTGTACATTCCGTTGATTATGGATTGCATGATCCGTTGATAATGGGTTGTACAATTATTAGTTATTAAACTGTTATTTTCCATTGCAAGCAAAGTTTACTAAAACGAAATTAAGAGATTTGCATTGTCTGTCATAGACATTTCAAAAGTTGTCACACGGATTGTAAGTGAATACTATTGGAATATCAAAAGGAAATTTCATCAAACTATTCACAAATTTAATTTTCTAAAAGGTAACATGGTGATTTTTCGGAATAAACGGAGGATAGACACCTAAATATTTAAATATAATATCAGATCTAGAGTTATTAAACTATATTTAAGGTTATAAACATATCTATGAAATATTTTTATAATTTACTTCTTCTTTCACACAAGCACAATGAAATAATAGGGGGTATTGTTGGAATATCACAAAGGGAAGATTCATCAAATTATTCACTAATTTAATTTTCTAAAAAGTTACATGACAATATTTCGGAATAAACGGACGTTGATACCTAATTATTTAAATATAATATCAGATCTAGAATTATCAAACTACAGTAAATGTATTTAAGGTTATAAACATATGCTTTATACATCCATGAAATTATTTTATATTTTACTTCTTTTTTCATACAAGTACAATGAAATAGTTTTTTAAACAATGTCATTGCCTTGATTAGGTGAATTGTGAGAGATAGTTATTTAAAATAAACCATATTAAAGGAATTTTGAGAAAGACGCATATGAACATTGGGCATTGGCACCATCCTGTTTAACAACGAAAAACCTATCAAGATACCACCTGATGATTAAATAGTAGGTATGTGATAGGATTGATATAATTTTATAAAGGGTGCTAGAAACATTTAACTTTGAAAATCTGTTGTTACGTATTCAAACGATTTTATGGAATATTATTATTGCTAACACAGTGCCTTTATTTCAGAATCGGAATTGATTCATGTAATAAATTACTATCTTAGACCATCTAAGCTTTGAAAATCTGTTGTTACGTATTCAACGATTTATGGAAATATTATTGCTACACAGTGCCTTTATTTCAGAATCGGAATTGATTCATGAATGAATTAACCTTATTCCAGGTTAGAATATAAGTTAAGAACTACTGATATAAGAATTAAAGCCGACTCTCGATAATTTGAACTCATCAGCTGTTGACTTCGATAAATAAAAAATTCTGTATCTTAATGCACTCAACTTGAAATCCTTTTCGTAATGAGTGGGAAAGAGAATGTTCTTTAATTTGAACTAGATGACTTCTCTTCTTTGAAATTCAAATTTTCCTAGCCATGTTTACTCCTCATTTTCCACGTAATTACTTCCTTTCACCTTAGCTTAACTTCCAAATTCTCTTTAGTTTATCACGATGAGTACAAGGCCAGAAGTACATCTCCCTTACCGTGCCTGACAACAAAAATTTTAAAAGTTACCAGACGCTGAAATTTTAGCTTCTAGCAAGAATGGTTCCAACCACAAAGACAAAGACCAAAATCAACTATAAATGTAACACCAAGGGAGCCCAGGAAATCACTTGGCACTTTCCGGAACTTTATGATGGAAACAGAAGTTAACAATGAAGTATTCTCAGCAGTGGTGACTTTGGAAAATGCTTTGGATCAGAGATACCAAGCCTCATTGAAACAAACAGAAAAATTTTTAATTACGTATGTTATTGTAATGTTAAAATGTATTTTTTTTTTATTTTCATTATTTTTACTTGAGGCTATGTATGTATAAAATTTATGTAACCTCATACATATTTTCAAAAATATCATAAAAACTCTTAATTCGAACCTTTTCATAATTCGAAGTCTAGACAATTCGAAATTTCCTTGTAGTCTCTGGAATTTTGAATTATCGACAGTCGATTGTATCAGTGACAAAATCAGTATTATGTTAAAATAGATGAAATAGGTATAGACTTAGAGACATAGGCAGGTATAAAATATATGTTCTATTAATTTCAATTTTTTTTTATAATCTTAAAAAAATAAAACGATTGACTTTGGAAGTCAATCCAAAGAACTTTTGAGCTTTTAAATTTAGAAAGTATATTTTCAATCATTTAACGAAACAATCAATAACTTCAAATTCAGTCTTAATTTTTTATTTACTTTTTCGAATAGTTTGATCTTAGTGTTACTAAAAGAATTTAAAATAACCTATTTACACAATCCAATAGTTATAAAAAGGAAGAAAAAAATAAATACAATTTGTGTCGTTGACATAAATATGACCAAACATGAGACAGTAACATAATTAGTTTAAGGCTCTTATACAAAAAAAAAAAAAAATCAATGTACAACAATATGTACAAAAACAACAATTTGTTTCTAAAATTAGGATAACAATTCAATCTAATTTTGTCTTAACTAAGGCAAATTCTTATTAGGAAAGTCTACAATCATCCATAAATCGTGATCTTTTTAAGACTGTATTTACAACAGCCCGGGCGAGGTATCCTCCGGCTATAGATTCATCGCTAGTCAAGAATTCCTTTCTTCCCGCCGTCTCATTCACGACATCTGTGTCCTGCAATTGGTACATAAGTTATTTTTTAAAAAGTCAGATTATGGTCAAAATATTTTTTTTTTATGATTACATTTAATTTACAAATTATGCGCACATTGAAGAATTGAATGAGAATGAGAATGTCAATTCTTGAGTGAATTGAGATTGCAGAAGTGGCTTATAGTCTACTTAATATATTTATAATATTATATGTTTCTATCAGTTCCAGAAGAGAACCAATTATTGAATTTATTTTGAATTAATTGTCTAATAAATCATATCATAAATATTTTAAAAAGATTGGATTACCTTTGAGAACATTTGAATAGCCTGATCGACTAAGTCATCCAGGTCAAATTGCTTTTGGAAAGTTATTTCTGGATTTCTTGATAAGATCGTGGAGACAATACGTAGTAACTAAAACAAAATAAAAAAAATATCCATTACATGAAATATGTAAAATTTATATTGATATGTAATAATATTATGTAACTCATTTGGTTCCCGTTTAGGTGGTGAAACCTAATGATGTCAGGTGTGCAGTTTTGATTAAAAACCAATAACAACTTAGATTATTTTTATCTCAATAAATTTAAATTTAAATTATAATATAAAATAAAATCCTTACTGGAGACCTTGAATTTAACATACGTACAAGTGCAATCTTCATTTCACAATAAACATGAAATAAATTCATACCTCTGTTAACATAAACAATATAACCTTAACACTGATGATTCTTCATAACAAATGTTTTATTGAAGAACTCATTCCCTGGTAAACTTTGAACACACTACCAAAACTAAACTTAACTGATTTTTTTTTAACTGCATGTCTTCTTCCACAACACTACAACTCATGAAGAGTCTTGGCCTCCTCAAGACGTGTCCACAAGGCAACCCTATCCTGTGCAGCCGCTTTCCAGTTATGTACACTAAAAGTAGTGCACGTGCATCCCTTGCCACACAATCCTGCCATCGCTGCGGTGGTCTTCCCACTCTCCTAGAGCCTTGCTCATTGCTCTCCAGAGTTTTTTTGGGGATTGGACCCATTGCAGTCTTGCAAGCTTTATGGTTCTTATGATATTTGGTTCCTTGAACAGATTGTAGAGCTCTGTGTTATGTCTAATTTTCACTTAAGTTCATTTAAGTTTAATTTTCAGTTAAGTTTATCACCTTTCTTGTGGGTCTATCTATAGGGCATGTCACAGACTTATTCCAATCTTTAGGTAATTTTTCTTCTGTCCATATACTCAAGAATAGTTCACGTTAGAATTTTATTAGCTTGGAGATTTTTTATTGCCTCCTCTACTTCGTCATCATTTTATAAATAACATGTTTTAAGTTAATTGCTATATGACCTTTTTGGTGGGCCAATAGCAAATAGTCTTCCGCTTCTATCCGGGAACTAGGTTATTTACACTCATGAATATTAAAACAAAACCCCGGCACTGGATATAGACTTTTTGAGGGTGTTTAACTGTCGTTGGAAATTCGGGAATCTAATACCTTTTTGTGACACTGAGCGACAAGAAACAATAAGAATATATATATGAAATATGGGACTGAGTAAATACACTTTGAATGAATTGACTCATCTGGTTTGTTATTCTTCAATTGTGAGGCATATAGAACAACTAAATAAAATGACTTTTCACTCCTGTATAATAAAACAATTTATTTTGACAACTGTAATAAATGAATCTATTAAAGTCTTATAACTGTTTCGACATTCTTCGATCTTATAACTGTTTCAACATAGGCTTGACGTTCTTAGTCTTCAGTGTAGTAGGCTTCTCTTCTCAGGTAACGTCCTTTCGCCTCCGTGTCCCAGCCTCAAGTACCTTCTTTGTTGCTTCCTGCTCGGTCCTTTTTCTTCTACATTATTTGTTGATTGAATTTGTGCACTGCATAATTGAGTATAATTCATCTTGCAACCTTACATTCTTATACATTCCTTCTCATTCCCTCACACAATGTCACATAAAGGAGTAAATACAGGGAACTATCTACTACAATCTGTTGATTCCAGATTATCATCGGTACTATAACCAGGTGTTACAGCATCCTCACTAATGTTGTTATTTCGCAATCCTTTAGTGAGGAGGTCTTCGAAATATCTTTTTCATCTATCAAAAATATCTATTTTTTCCATCAGAAGATTACCATTTTCATCTCTGCATGAAAAAACTACTGGTTGATAAGGTTTGCGCCATTCGTTAATTTTTTGGTAAAATTTCCTCTCTTTGTTTAGGTTCCTGTGTTGTTCAATAATTATATATTCTGAAAATGTATCTATGAAAACCACTAGCGTAGTTCATATTATATATTTTCTTACCATTTGGAAGTATATCTAAATATGTTAAGGTAAATATATCTAAATAGCGAAAAAAATACTTCCATTGTGATGGTTTTTATTAATAAAACATTCTAAAACCAATGCTTAAATTTACTATCGTTTGTTATCAACGGAAAATCCTATCTGATCCAGAAAAGTAGATTTTTATTTCTTGTCTTTCTCTCTCTGGCTTGAATTGATAAACCTTTAGGATGAACCTCCTTTTCTGCAGTAATTAGATAATTTAAATGCATTGAACCCAATTAAAAAAAAAATCTATTGGCCCCATGAAGTGGAGTAAATGATAATATTGTAAAACTTGATATAAAACTAATGATTATAAATAAAAAAATAAACAGAATCAAATTAACTTTTTTTAAATTTTATAAAATTAACAGAATTTATTATAATCTTAAAATACCTCCACAATTATTTGCCTGTACTCTGGCTCATCAATCTTATTCAACGCTTCCTCGACCAGAAGAGAAAAGGCGAGCTCTGAACGACTCATATCTGTCAGTATCGGTTGCCTCAATATCACCGTCTTGCCGAATTTCAAACCTTCTGTAGCTGAGAGGACATCCCAAACTTTCAGATGAAAATTTGGAGGTGATCTACAAACACACCCTTCAAGCCTTCTTCTATCGCCACAACTGAGGCTAAAAATTTAAATATTTTATTAATAAAAAAAATATATCAAATATAAATTGAGACTTTTATTTAACTAATAGTCAATAATAACTTAATACATCTGGAATAAGTGCATACAAGTTTAGCTAAAACCAGATCTTGAACTGGTACGAGAGGCCGTTTACGGAACATAATACATGCATAACTTAATACATGTGGAATGAGTGCATATAAGTTTAGCTAAAACCAGATCTTGAACTGATATGAGAGGCCTTTTACGGAGCATGGACTATAAATACTGTTTCATAATTCAGCCACAAAAGTTCCCAAAAAGTGAAGTATAAAGTATTGATCAGATCTAATCTACTCATCTCATCAGTTGAATCTTTCAATTTCTAACTTATAGCTGTATCAGTGTTTATCCACCATTAGATCTGTATAATTTTAGTTTTTTTTTCTAAGCAGTACCTTACAAAATTAATAAAAAGAAAATTCTAGCTTCAAAAATAATGATTTCATAGTTATTTTAAGTTACACTTAGTGCACCCTTATCCCAAATCAACCCACATAAAATTTTAAATAACAATCAAGTTAAACCTTTAATAAAAAAAAAAAAAAATTGGCAGGGATTGTCGTTTAATAATGAAAAAATTTGGAGCGCAACACAAAACGTTCACACTTACCGCTCTACTTTGATTAGAAATTAATTTCTGGCAATATTGGGCTATTATAAAGTTTTTGAATTTTTAATGGAGCTACAGCTAACATATCATTAACTCCACTAAAAATACAAAAGCCCTATTAATTATACCAACACTAGGCAATAAAACCTCATTACTCCATCTGTTTTATAAACCACACAACTCCAGTCTCTGAGCTATGTATATATACCTAGAGATATTTGAAAGTACATCTATATATTCAACCTATAAATGATTATAGACTGTGCGACTATTAGTTATAAAACTATTATTTTCCATTGTAAAGTCTACTAAAATGAAATTGCGAGATTTTCATTGGCTGCCATAGATAGGTCAAAAGTTGTCACACTAATTGTAAGTGGATAATGTGATATCACAAAGGTTAAACTCACCAAATTATTTACTAATTTAATATTCTAAAAGATTACATGACGATTTTCCAAATAAATAGAAGTTGATACCTAATTATTTAAATATAATATCAGATCTAGAATTACTAAACTACAGTAAATGATTTAAGTTTGTAAACATATGCTTTATACATCTATGAAATATTTTTATATTTAATTTCTTTCACACAAGTACAATGAAATAGTATTTTAAACAATGTCATTGTCTTGATTCCGTGGATTTTTAATACTTTTTTTTTTCAAACTTATCCAAATTTTAAAAGTTTACATTTAATAAGAAAGTATTTAATTTCCTTGGAAACATGTGATTTATGTTAAATAATGTTAGTTTTTAGAAATTATTATTTATATTTTATTAATTGCTCTCCGTTACCTTCTACAAATTTACTAATTAGATATTATTTTTTCTGAAATTCTCCACTTTCCAACGATATATGTATACCTCCTTCTGACATTATTTCCAGATATTCATTTTCAAGCTGGATACGTATTTTTCTTTTTTTCCCTTTATTCAATTATCAAATTCTTTCAAAAGTTATAAATAGCCTTTTTTCACAATTCCTAACAACGAGTGACAGCTAATTTTTTTAAATAAACCCAATTAAAGTATCTTAGAGGAAGGCGTATATGAACATTTAAGTCCTGTAAAGTGACATCAATGTGGATAAGAACCAGCTGATATTAAAAACAACTTAATAATACACTGATATACCGAGTTTTATCAAAATCATTAGAGATGTTTTTGAGAAAATCGTAAAAATATGTAACATCGATTATATAAAGTGCCACTTCCGGTAAACCGATTTTGTTGTGATTTTGCTTTTGCTTTATGAAAAAGTTGTGATCACATCCAAGCCATAAACAAATCTTAAATATGGAATTTCAGTTTTGTACGACTTTTCGTTTTTGAGATTGACTATTCACATACACATACAGGCCTTTTAGAGGGCGGGGTGGCTGAATGGGCTAACGCGTGTGCACTGCACTGCCGTTGCCTGGTAACCGGATGTATGATTCTATGATATGAAAATAGTCACGAGTTTGCATCCCGGTCCCAGAGGGGATTTTAAATTCCCCGCCCTCACCCTCTGGTCCGGGAAAATCCTGTAAAACATACAGGCCTATTCGTGGAACTTGGTTACTTGGACTCAGGGGATCTCAAAACGTGTATTTCCGGTAAAACTCACATTTAAAATTTTTGAAATCATCTGAGTATATACAAATCTTAAATATGGAATTTCACTTTCATTCGTTTTTGAGCTAGACTGGTCACATACATACTCACAGACCATTTTGCGGGAATCGGTACAGGAGACCTCAAAGCATGTATTTCTGTTGAAAACTCAGACTTGAAAATTTTCACGATCGCAATACTTTCACTTACTATATATTTCATGTATAGGCAAGTGAAAGTAATAATGTATAAATTTAAGTAAATGAAGACTTACGATTCCTTTGTTGCCCATTCACTAACTGAAAGAACCTTATAAAGCAGCTTTCTGACCCTGAAAGGGCTTAAATTTCCAATACTGGTTGTAGAATTAGTTATTTTCAAATAATGTTTTATTGCTTCGAGTACCCATCTGCAAAAATAAAAAGGAAATTTCAAAATTTACAGAATGTTTAAAAAATAACACTTACTTATAGAAAACAATGCCTAGGTGATGGGGAGAGTGATGTGTAAAATATACGAACATAGTCTCAACCCCGTTTCAATAAGTGCCATTCATTTGAATCCTTAAAATAAAATAAATAAAGTAAAACAATAGGAAAGAAAAAATAGAAGACAAAGTAATTTAAAAATCGAAAAACAAATAAATATATTACTTTAGTCATGAATCGAGAGATCGCAACATACAACTTACCTTAACTATACAAAAATTATAATGATATATATAAGTAAATAACAAAGAAATTTTCCACAGGAAAAAAGTTAATTATAATAGTAAAGAAATAAAAAGGAAAAAACTTCTAAATGAATTATTTGAGAAAAACAAGTTAAATTTATAGTGATTTAAAATTTGCAACTAATAAATATAAGGTAAATTGGAAATTAATTATGATTCAGCAATATCTATTATCAACGTTTCCAAAAAAAATTATTCTCTCTAGGAAATTTATGATGAAGCGTCTAAACTATCTATGGTAGTGTTCTATTATAAAAGGTTTGATTTCATAATAAATAAAAATAATCAGGCCTGATTTTAGCAGTTTTACTGTATGAGATGAATCTCTTCTTAATACAGCTGGCAGCTAAAGAACGTTGAGACACCGACAAAGATATACTTTGAGGTAAACACTAATGAAGATTAATGCTGATTATATTAAAGGGAGACGCCCATTCACTCTCAAAGCTTCTAGATGGCGAGAGAAGAAAGACAGTCGATCTCCATTCATAGGTAAATTCAGTGCAGCTCATAGTGAGGGGGGGTGGTACCATTAACTAGTCCATTAGACAGGTAATTATTACAATCAAAATGAACTATATAAAGTTCTCTCGGTTCATATATATGTTTTGAACTTAATTAAAACAAAACAAAAATACTTTCTAATCACAGTTTACTATTTATAATTTTATGTAAAATAAAAAATGGAAATAAACGCTACAGCCTGAACAAATAGTAATAAAGACAAATAATATTTATAAATGTTGTATCGATAGTTATCAATCGGTAACGACCTAAACACTTAGGAGATAAAAATGTAATAAATTGTTGAAATTTTAGTAGATAATAATTAAAGAAATTTTTATTCAGTATCTATTGTGTAGTGATTATTTCATTAATAATAGTTTTAGACTAGAGAATGGATGGGAAAGTGTAAAATGTGGTCTAATAAAAAGTAAAATGGTTTCAAGCTTAAGATATGCATTATTTACCAAGAATTCAGTATTTTATTAAATAAAAATGTAAATTGATCTAGAAGGCTCTTACCCGACCCTGATCTTGAGAATGCCTTTAAAAAGGTGAGGACTAGTAGTGATAAGCCTGCCGCAATATAGTACAACCTCCTGCTGCAAAACAGCCTGTATCATATCGTGAGGTTGGATCGTGGAATATATCACGTCTCGGATCTCTGTCGGGACGAGTGGTTTGTCGAAAACTGTTTCTTCATGACCTACCACTCCAACGCTGATCTGTTGGAAACAAGATAATTTGTAAAAAAAAAAAAGGAGTGAAATAGATAACTGAATAACACTGTAAAATCATCAATTAACAATCTGATCTTAAGTTGTGCCTATATCATCATCATCATCCTATATACAAGCAAATTCTTATAAGTTTACAGGTGAAGGAAAATCTAGATAAGGCAGCATGAAGCTATGGTCAAGCAACGAATGTTTCCCAAAGACCCAGGGATAAAAAGCCAGAAACGAGAAGCATATCATAATCCAAGGCCAAACATTAAAAAAGAATTGGAGGTTTTCATATACCTTGGAAATTTAGCGGCAACTGGTGGAGGAGCTGACGACGATTTGGACAGCCGGATCAAAAAGGCTAAGGAAGCTTTTACACAGCTCCGCACTCTGTGCTGTGCCAATAAATCTGGACACAAGGCTCTAATATGCAATCCGAGTTGCTTTTTAGCTCAGAGACATGGAGGGTGATTCAATTCATCTCAGCCCATTAGCAAACCTTCTGGAATAGTTGTTTGAATTCTATCTTGGGAATTCAGTGGCCAAAAACCATTTTCAATGCGAAATTACTGATAAAGACCAAGCAGAGAAAAATAGAAGATGAAGTGGACAAGCTTATCACTGTGAAATGTATAAAGGAAAAGACTACAATATTCATTGAGCTCATATATTATGTAAAAATTAAACGTAATATAAAATATCATCTTAGCAACCTTGAGTCAGGAGTTGGCACTAGTTCAACTCAGTACTTGTATAATAGTGGGTAGCGTTTGACTGCTATCTGCCAATGTTTATAACCTAAACACTGATAACTCTGATAAGCCACTGATAATATCTTTGTATCCATATTTATTGTATTATATTCATATTATTATATCTTCTTATTCATATTTATTGTTTTATATTGATATTATTGAAATTGTGAACAAAAACAAAAACAAATGCGACAACATCCATAATTAAATAAGACTAATCCACAGCTTACACATGAAACAAAAAAATAAACAAGGGAATAACTTAGATTAGAGGAGATAAGGGAGGCTACGTGAAATAAGATTAGATAACAAGGGAGGTTTTGATGCTACCCGCTATACAAGTACCTTCAAATCAAACCTAAATTGGTTGAAATTCATTTTATGGCGGACTAACGGAATCAATATCGACCTCTCCACTTTGGCTAGGATATGTAGACTACCTGTAGTAGAACCACCTCATATACTAAAAATTGATGATTTGAAAATTTTTTTGTTATTAATTTAAATTTTTTCAAGCAAGGCAAATATAGAAGTTGCATTAAAAAATACTTGTGAAGTGATTTTAACTTCCATCACCATCTGCAAACACTTATATTAATCATAATTATAGGATGCCCTTATACCACTATACTAAATTTTTTAGTTACAATAATTTATGGCCGACAAATAATAGACCCACAAAAGTTTATAAAATAAAAATATTTCACTTGCAAAATCATCAGCAAACCCTGTGAAAAGAAAAACATAAACTACGCAGATATGGCAACCTAAAGTTAAGATAAAAGACTAGTAGATATTTATTAAATATTTACTAACAAGTAATAAATCATCAGAATATTTTTAAAAGAATATTTTCATATTTACAATATCTGAGTTATTATAATTGACAACTATGCAAAATGCTAATATATATTATAAGATAAAAAACATTATTCTAAGCAACTAGTTAATAGAACAATCCTCAGATATTCTAGAGGATCCGTCAAAGATTGATCGGAAAGCAACATTATGGATCGCTTATGGTTAAGGAGTTTAGGATAGAAGTGTTAAAATCTTATGAGTTGTATTCATCATTTCAGATATTATCGTTATTGTTTATTATTATATTAGTGATAACACAAAGAACATTAGATGGAATTTTGGCGCCCGAAAGTGACAAGGATAAGTGGAATGCTGTTAAAGGATGCAGAAGGACTGCATATTGCAGGTTTATGGAAAAAAAATGTAATATATACAATCAAGGAACATTTGTAATGAAATAAATAATAAAACACCTGTTTTCCATTGACTAGTAGAGCAGTGATAAACGGGCTGATGCTGTCGACGGTGTGTCGAAGAAGACTACTACAGTAGCGAACAGCGAGCCAATAATGGAGACTACCAGCAGTATGGTAGAGCGATTCTATGTGCTCTAGAACTGAAGAAATACCAAATGTGGACAATTTTGAAGTTTCAGAGAATTTAAGCTATATTGAAGTAGAATTCTAAAAAATTGAGAACGTGGAATTGACATGCACATGCTTTGATCCTATTATAAGTGATATGAATTCAAAATTTTTCAAAAGTAGTCGGTTAATAAACATTGTTAAGTAAGGTCTTAGTTAATTTCACATTGCATCCACAATGGCTTCTTGTTCTGTATTTCAGACAATTCAGTCATTACTTCTTTTATATTCTGAACCTAACTTGAATCTTAAATGAGAAATATTTTTGATTCCTTACATGTTTTTTTAGCTAGAACATAAAAAATACGTGTTAGCTCGCTATAGAAACACTGTGTGTTTTAGGGTTAAGTGGCCAAACTGAAAATATGAATTAAGGACCTCAAAACAAGAAAAAAAATCCCAAGTATGTCTGCAAATGCTTTGTTTATGAGATATTCACACCTAAAGATTTTTATTGTTATCAATTATTTACATTATATTATGTAAATAAAACTTATTTATTTGTTCCAACTACTTTATTAATTAAACATAAACATTAAATTCGTATTAAATGTTGTTCAAAGTGATTTCCATGAGCATTAAGACAGGCTTGGCATCTTTCTTCAACAGGCAGCAGTGGCAGAACGGCACTGGATATGTGTTATTGTTTCACAAGATTCAATTATCCTTCTTCGTAAGGAATTAAGGCCATTGACCGGACTTGCATAGACTTTTTGTTTAATATCACCCCAAACAAAAAAATCCAATGGTATCAGGTTTGGAGAGCATGCAGGCCAAGCCACGGGTCCTGCACGGCCAATCCATTGATCGCAAGAATTAACAGCCTTTTTCGTGGTGGACCTCTTCCGCAATGTGCAGAAAAACCATCTAATTGAACCACATGTCCCTTCTCAGTTGTAGTGAAATATGATAAACTAAATCATAGTAATCATTATTAAGAAATTCCGAAATGTGTCCACATTGAGTTGAAGCGGCAAGACATGCGGACCTATTAAAATATTCTATATTATCCCCAACCACACATTGCACTGAAACTGGTGCTGAAAATAATGCTCGTGAATTTCATGGGGATTTCCCTGCGACCAGAGATGATTATTTTTCTGATTGAAGATACCTCTTTTTGTAAAGGTAGCTTCATATGTTAAGAGAATTTTTCCTAAAAAATTTGGATTATGCTCAACTTGGTTTAAGTAGCAATCTGAAAAATTTCTTCTTTGCCAAAAATCTTATGGTAATAAATTTTGTACCCGTTGATAATGATATGGGGGAAGTCCTTCTGCAATGAGAGTTCTCCTTACTGTAGTTGGCATAATATTTAGTTCTGCTCCAGCTCTTCATACACTGCCAGATGGATTATCATCAACATATTGTAATATGGTCGTAGTCCTTTCTTCATTTTGTAAAGGGGCAAAAATACCATCAGCAAATGGTATTATAGCAAATGTACCAGTTTCTCTAAGACGTTGAAATGTGGAGCTAAAGATAGACTTGTTCGGTAATCTTCTATTCGGAAATCACCTGGCATATTCATGATGGGCAGCATTAGCATTAGCATTACAAAAACCGTATACAAACACCATATCGGCATATTCACCATTAGTATAAATGGAAGGCATAATGATGAGTATTCCGCGAAAGTCTTTTACAAACTGATAAATGTTATTGAGAGTTCCCAATGATAATTCCAAATAGTATTGATCCTTATGTTGCCAATAGTTTTTATACAGTTAGGAGTAAAAGGCCATATTAGTATTCTATCTAACCCATCTCCTAAACAAAGCGTTTGAAGAAATACCTTCCGTTTGAACAACATTTAATTAATAAAGTATTTATAAAAAATAAATAGATTATATTTATTTCATATAACGTAAATAATTCATAACAACAAAAATCTTTAGGTGTGAATATATTCTAAACAAAGTGTTTGCGGACATACCTTCATAGGATTTTTTTTTCTTGTTTTGAGATCCTTAGTTCATTTTTACAGTTTGGCCACTTAACTCTGAAACATTCTATAGAATCATCAAGGATGAAATATTTCTAAGCTTGTTTGTCAGCTTAGGTTAACAATAAGGGAACCAACAATTAGACAACAACAAATTGCCAAGGGTGTGAAACATAGTTGTTTCATTGTATGCAGATGTGTTCTAAGTATTGTGCAGAACATTAGTCATATCAACGACAGCACATTCCACCTTAATGGAGGTTTCAGAAGTTCTAATCAATCCAAATAGGAAGATTTTGGCATCCCATAAAATTTGAAATGAGATATGCTTAACTACTTTGCTACGATGGCAATGAAAAGCCTGCAATGATGATTTCATTTGAAAGAGGGGTAAACCCATGGTCTCTGTTGTAGTATGTGGGGTGATGGTAATATAACAATATAATCTTATCATCACTACTTGATGAAGAACTGAACATTTTTAAATCAATCAACTAAAATTTGAGGCATATTTATTTATGCTCCCTTGACAATAGCTTAACGATCTGTGAGTGGTCATGAAAAAAGTGTGCAGACCACCTAAATCTTCAAAGAATTCAATCATATTCTGATGTTATATTGATGTTGAGTATGATATTAAAAGTCAATATGGTTAACAGTCTTAAGATAATTCGGGCTCTTGTAAGAGCAAGGAAGTGCTGTTTTTTGTTTTGTTTTATTTTTTCCAAGCAAAAACGTGCTCCACAGGTTTAAAAAAAAAAACATTTCATTTTATAGGATGGATTATTGTGTTGATTTTCTAATGCTATTTATATTTTGAGATCAATCAAAAACAGAACAATAATTTTTTTTTCAATTCCGACAGCCTATGTCTTGACCAAACTATCATTAAAGTAATATATTGCATTATAAAACTGTCTGTAATATGAGACTGCTCAAGCTTCAAGCTTTTTATGGAAAATACTCAGGTCTAAGAGGCAATGTATGACAGATGTAAATTTATAGCAAATATATTGAATAAAAAATGAAAGTGTAAGTGCTTGAGTGATGTCAACATATCCAATTTCTTTATTCTGAAGTATAATTAACAATAATCACTTTACCAACAAAAAAAATAAATAAAACAACATGCAATTCGATATGCTTGAGCCATGCAGGAAATTAGGAAACACAATTTACCAAATAACCACTGGAATCGCATGCAATGTGAAATAAGATTATCCCATGGGTTTCCAATATTTTACGAGCCAGGACCCACAACTAATTAAACTGAAAAAATTCTCATGGCCTGAAAATAAAAGAAAAACAGTAAGAGAATTTTACAACATTAATGTGAATCACAGCTTACGTAATGATGGCGGATCTTTGCAAATGGGTTTAATTCACAGAAAATTTAATCTTTTACCAATTTCCTTTTTTCTGTACAGTTAATTTGTTTATTATTCATGAAAAGTTTAGGAAATTCTACAGCATATTTTGTACCAGTAATAAACACTCAGGTTTTGGAGTCAACATATTTTTTTATATAATTAAAAAAATAAATAAATTCTCCACAGTTTAAACAAGGAAATGACAAACTACAGATGATTAAATACGAAATTGAAACCTATCTCCTAAAGAAAAGTGATAAAGAAAGCTCCCAGAAACAAACACACAGCCCTATTTCATTGAAAAATCAACCAATCAGCTATTGTGGCTTGATATCACCTGAAGTTCAGGCATCACCCTCTCAAGTGTTCAAGCTTCAAATCTAATCATATTTGAACACTCTTTTGGAAGTATGAAGACTTTTGTATCTCTAGCGTTACACATCGGAAATCTGACGGCTCAATCTAGTTCACTCATCCTAAAGAAGTTTTCAGTTCAAAAATAATAATTATGTTTCCACCATTCACCTTGTGGCTTGGTCGGTGCATTTATTAGTCTCTTGTAGCTGACTGTTTGGTCGTTTCGGTTTCTGACCATTTAGAAGCAGATTATTATGATTATTTGCAGATTTATTCTGAATCCAAAATTAAATAAAAAGGTTTTAAATGCATTTTTGAAAGCTAATAGTATTTTAAACAAGTTTAAAGGGGAAAAAAATCTGTTTTTCTGAACGTCTTTTTGGATTTTGGGACCTGTCATCGAGAAGAAACACTCATTATAAGGCGTCACAGTCAAAGGGTTATATTACAATCTTGAAAACTTGCTTTGACATTTCCTTCTAATTAGAAAATAAAATAGGAGATCATAATTTATCGTTATAAAATGTTAGCGTGGAGAACCATAAATATAAAAGAGGAAAATGGTTAGTAAAAACAAATGTAAAACTGGTTATAATCAATTTTATGCACATGCACCAAAATCAGCTGTTTCAAGAAACAGTTCTGGTCATTTCAAAATTAACAACTGGTTAGTTTTTTTTATTTATTACAGACATATTAATAGATCGATGGATTCAAACAAATACCTCTAACATTAAATCAACATCTTGTCTCAACATGCGAGGTATTGTAATCAATTTATTTGGGGACATGACACAAGGTATTAAAACTGCTATGCCTTTTATTATGTGTTGATTCAAGTTTTATAACTTAATTGAAACATCTACGTCATTGTGATGTAGAATAACGAGAAGAATAAAAAAAAAAAAAAAATGCAAAATTTTGGATTTGTGAGGTATTGACTTGAATTCATCGATATAACATGTATTCTTCTATAAATAAATATATCTAATGTTTATTTTTCTGAATTTAAAAAATAAACAATCATTGTTTATTTCCCTTGAAAAATGGACTCTATGCAAAAGAATGGAATCTAGGTAAATTTTAAAATTTAGAATGTAATTGAAATAAAATATAATGCATTGATTTATTGATTAACATATTAATTAATTAATCTGCAAGATTAAATAGTTCCAAATATAAAAATAACATACCAGTCTTATCTTTGAATTCATAATCTGGTCCTGTTTTCGCCAACAAGACGCCATAGAGCTGAGCTAACGAGTATAGAGCTATTGTGTTACGAATTGCTTCTAAAATATCCGGAATAGATTTTGTTTCATACTCATCCTAAAAATAACATAAACATATTCTTTGTTCAATAAAAAAAAATAATGACAAAAAAGTACTGTGCATGGTGGGCATTTATTTTTATATTTTAAATTTTGTACCTTAATAAACGAATGTTCTTCAGAATAATCAGAAAGGAGTGGGACATCTGTGAGGCTCTGATAACCGATATATTCGTGTTCGATTTGTTGAAATTGTTCAAATTCAAAATCTGGTGTATCAAAACTACTCATGAAATCTAAATGCTCTGAAAAAACAAAACAAAATCATTAATAAAAAAAAGAAGTTTTGCTCATAACTTTCACAAAGACTTTCTTTAACATGTTCATGTCGGCAGGTACCACTGGTGGCTCACACAAGACTACCTAATATTGTGGCAAGTACCAACAGTGGTATGTATTTGATTGTGCTTTCAGATGGTGTGTAACATCGAAAATTTAGACGATAGAATTAGAAAAAAATTAGCATAAATAATGAAGTTAGCGTAAATCAATTTAAATCATTTATTTTTTTAAAACAATTTTAATTAATAACATAGTATAAATATAACATTAAGGAGCCAGTTCTGCTGCACAGCTGTGAAACTTGGGCTCTAACTGGCACCCTAGAAGGCAGAATTGAAAGAATCAAAAGTAAAGTCCACTGTACGATAACAGGACCTATCTGGGATCAGAACCTAAACACATGGTCGAGAAAGAACAATAAATAACTGCTAAAAGAAACTGTCCAACCTCATGATTCATATAACTTGATAACATAAACAACAGCTACTCTTGTGATAAATTTTCGTTTCACGGATTAGTTCGGGCCTGCTTGAAAAAGTTATGAGCTTTAAGTATAGTTTCCCATAAGAGAGAAACATAAATTGCAGAGTCAGTGTAAACGTATAAATAAAATTTCTAATAATAAATATATTTAACAATTTTTTTTTTAAGTTTTAAAAACACTTTTCACTGAAAACCAATTATTGAAGGTATCAATATGTTAAATGCAGCAATGTTTCAGAATGGTAAAATTAAATTGATTTAGAAAAAATAGGTTTACCTATGCAAGAAGAAGAAATCAAATTCTGTAAACGTCCGATCCTGACTTTTATCCCTTCGCAGTAACCTTTTTTCAACATGGCCATTAAATTAAGCATTTCTTTAAATTGAGGATCTCTATAAAAAAATAAAAAATAAGATTAACTTAATAAATCCATCCTACCATGATAGGATAATACCATTAAAAAAGATTTCATCCTAAAAATAGCTTTCAAATGGCTATATTGATAACAGATAATGTGCTAACTAAACAAAACCTTATGAGGAAAGGTGAATTAGATGCTAGGTGAAGTAACAAAATACAAATAGTGGTGGTTAGAGTAATCTACTTCAACTTTGTGTAATAATGCGTTATATTGGGTCATATCAGAAAATAGATTAAATTAGAGCAATAAATAAGTAGTTTAAAGCATATTACCTCATATGTTCTTCCCTGATGAGTAAACATACAGTCGGGCGGCCCGAAAGTCTCCAATACCGACTGACAAACTGTAACTCAGTCTTTATATCGTCGATTAAAAGTGCCATGTCCCTGTACAAGTAGAATTCTGAGACCTCAAATATTAATGGGTAGCAAAGTACAGACATTCCGCAAACCCTATAAACCTGAAAATAATGATAAAATGGTGGGTGAAAATATTGATTGTGGCAACATCTATGTTCATATTTTCATTAATTGAACATTTATTATTTATCTGTATTTGTTGAAGGATCAACGTCTGAACCATAAAAGACATGATTTCTTACAAAACCTCAACACCAATTATTGGCCTACATTTTAAACAAATTTAGTCCTGCCAAGGGTAAGACCTCAGTGTATCCTTAAAGGACTATCGTTAATTTTATTTGGCGACGAAAGAACAAATCATGACTTAAAGGAAATAACTTTAACCGCCTGATAGAGAAAGGGTGGGGAGATGGACAAGGCCTACTTATTTAACTAACTTTCAACAAAGCTTTACATTACAATTGAACATACTATTTCATTCACTTCATAACAATTCATTGTTAGCCTTCGATTTCTGTTCGTCCGTTAAAAAATGACCAAGAAATTAATCCCATCAAATTGTATTTCACTTTTTCCTTTTTATAGCCTTTTTCATCAAACCAATCCAATCATGTGCACATTTTTTTTTTTTTTTGTATTCTTTATTTTAAATAATTTCATTTTTTCTTCATCTTAGAATTCATATTTATTTTAGTGATCATAAAATCAAACCCCATGGATACAGTCCATAGCAGATTAACCAGCACAAGATTTTACCTAGTTCTGTCATAAATATTGTTACAAGGAAATATATACAGATTTCAATAGAAAAATTAATTTTTCCAAAATTTTATTAGAAAATAAAATGTATATCTATAGAGAGTAAAACAAAAGAGAAATTACTCAAAATGTCTCCCTTTTGCCTTGACACAGGCATTTAATCTCCGTGGCCAGTCATCAATAGCAGCATGCAGGAAAACACTCAATTGCTCGGACCAGAGATTGTTTGAGGCTTTCCAAGTTAGGGTGTGCTCTGTGACATGCCATCCTCTCCAGTTTGGACCAAAGTTGATAGTGGGTTGAGATCAGGACTTCCTGAGGGCCAATCTGAGGCAGAGATGAACTCTGGAATGTTCTGCAGCCACTGCTGAGTTGACCTGGCCTTGTTAGCTGAAGCAGAAAACCTGCTGGAAAACTCAATGACTTACAGGAAACAGAGTATCATTTAGAGGCTTGACAACAGATTCCAAAATATCGTCCTGATAGTTATTAGCGGTGGTTTTAACATCTTTTTCATAAAAATGGAGCTTTGTGATGCCATCAAAGCAAACTCCCCACCAAGCCATCACTGAGGAAGGCTGATGACCTCTTTCCACTCTTCCAATGACTTCCTTGGCTTCTTTAGAGCTATATGCGTACACACGATCATTTTGGCGATTAAATTTGTCTTCAATTGCAAAATTTTCTCATCACTAAACAAATTCTTTCAATGAATACCATTGGTGTAATGGCCAAGGAGCTCTTTGCGTTTATCCATTCCAATTTTTTTTAGGGAAGTGGTTAGTCTTTGTCCTGTCATTCTTCAAAATGCGCCTATCCTAAGGTCACTTTTTATTATGCGAGACATTAATCTGACAGAGATTTCCATTTCCCGATACATGATTTGTCGTTTTCGAATGGGATTTCTTCTGAATCGAGCAGCTACTGCTCTCACTGCATAGTATGGGGACAGCCCGGTCAAGGTATGTCACATACAGATAGGGTCTCATTATATCTATTTATAGTGCGGTACAGGAACATACGGCTGATATCCTAAGGTTTCAAACTCTTGAAAATTTCTGACCTACATTTTCCTACTTTGTGTAAGGCGATCACAGCTATTTGGTTTTCTTTATCACCCCACTGCATGTTAACTGAGCAGAAGAAAAATACAAACTAATTGAGATTATTACCCTGACATGTAAAGAAAATGACCTGATAGAAGTAAGAATTATCTAAATAATAACCAAGGATGTAAACATAGTTCAACTTTTGTAACAATATTTATGGCAGAACTATGTATTTTCTAAAACAATTTCTCAACAACCATAAAAAGTAAAGACCATAAGAAGTAAAGTATGATAAAAAGTCATTAAAAAAGTTATAAAGATCTCACTTAACATGTTTCAGTTTACCTTGAGTCTAAAAAAAGAAGTTTTTTTAAAAAAGATACTGTCTTACAGATCCTGCCAATTAAAATAGAATGCTGTCGATATATCTTTTCGATATTTACATCCTAGTGGAGTTGTGCTTGAAAAATATAAAACTATCAAAGAGAAATGTAAATCACTAAATATTTCAAAGAATGGCTTCTGATCCACTAACTGCAAGAAAAATAAAAAATTTCTAGTCAGATATGAACATCGCATCGATACAGGAAACTTAATGATTCAACTTAATCAAGTGGTTAGAATTGATTTCTTTAAAATCTATCACACTTTACCTTCAGAGTTCACGCTCAATAAAAAGAAACTCAGTTCAGGGTTTGGACTCACTTCCTCACATTACCATACTAATTTTTGATATAGATCTTAGGTATTTAAATTTCATTATAAAATTTTCACAAGACATTGAAAATATTAAGATTTTAAAATGGAGCCTCACCTTACTAGTCCCTAAAGCACCGATCGGCCTCTGAGGCCTCCCAGACAGTTTCAATTTTTCATCAATGCCAAGATGACCATAGACCTTAACGAGCTGGTTCGATGACCAGATCTGGACAGGTTCCACCTCGTGCGGAGTCTGCGTCTGGATCCCATAGGTAGCCATCATAGCCTGTAATCTCATCGACTCAGCTATGAGGACTATCTGGACAACCAGATCAGTAGCTGTTCCCTGCTAGCAAAGGAACAATTATCTCCATGAAAATTATTATAATATAAATATTTTATTCAAGTGTAATACTGAATTATATTAAATTATGTTTAAAAATAAGAAAAGAAAATATTTGATTAGCAAGGACATAATTCAAGTTAAGTAGTGCCAAGTAAAACTCTTTTTTTTTTTTAATAAAAAGAACAAGTGATCTAACATTTTCTATTTTATTCAATGACCTTTCATGCAGATTTTAAAATTTGGAAATTTCAACAGTAAAATTTATAGCATTCCATAATAAACAAAAAAATACATTTAACAATAATTACAATTATAGTAATAACAAAAATATGTAATTTTTGAAAAGAAAATAATGCTTCTTTTCAGATAAAAAATATGAATGATAGACAATTGGAAATAAGAAACCTACAATATTTTCTAATATAAATTGGTACTCGAACTGCTAAGATAAAAATTTCCATCTTCATATATAGAGTGTTATGAGTGATGAAAATTTTTCTGATATAGTTAGCGATTCTTCTGTAATATTATTTGATCCTCACATATGAGATAACCATTTTTATTAACAGTAAATAAATAAAAAGAAACCTGGTGCGTGCGTCACACAACTTTCACTTACCACCAAATTAGCAGAAATAAATATTTTCAGACAAAGTTAAAGTAAAAATTACAGATACTATATTTAATTAGATTCCATTGTGCATATTTTTATTTGTTTAATTACTCTTATATATACAAATATAAATTTGTTATTGCTTTAGTCTTTACAATTAAATATTAAATAATATCAACGATAGCATTTATGAAAACCGCATATGTATACGTAAATAATATTGTCGGAGTCCATATTATATTAAGCTCATGTTATGTATGCCTTTTCTAATCTTTCGGGCAGGCTCGAATTCCTTTGGTTCTACCATTACAACTATTATCCGTTATGACCTCTTATTTCTACTTTAGTTAATTATCAACTTCTTTCATATTTTGTATTTAACTATTTTTTATATCAAAGATTAATGTGAAATGGTTAGTTATTTCAAATAAAAAAAATTAAAGGTACTTTATAGGAAGCTAATATTGAAAATTAGCCATTTAAGCTCTGTTAGAGAATAAATCCTACATTATATTAAAAACTGCTTAATAATACACTGATATAGCGAGTTATTTCAAAATCGTTAGAGCTGTTTTTGAAAAATTCATAAAAATGTGTTAAATCGGTGATATAAAGTACAACTTCCGGTTTGCCGATTTTGGCAAAAATGTTGCTGTAACATCACAGGATTATAAAAACCTCAAATATGCTATTTCAGCTTCCTACAACTTTTCGTTTTTGAGCTAGACTGTTCACATACACACACAGACCTTTTCATGGGACTTGGTTATTTGGACTCAGGGACCTCAAAACATGTATTTCCGTCGAAAAATCAGATTCGAAAATTTCATGGTGCAATCGTGAAAATATTTAGTTAAGTGAAAGTAAAAATTGACAAATAAATCAAGTATATTTATTCAATATGTCCTATTTTCAATACTTTTCGAGACTACAGTTTCCACGATTTGAAAAAAATTTGAATCATGAGTTGAAGCAAAGTCAGAAAATGCATTTTTAATTTCTGAATCATTTGTGAACAATAATCTTCCATCTGATTGGCATCAATTGTCATACATGATCCTTTTTTTTTTTGAGCTAATACAGAATCCAGGAATCGAGTTTTTTCAACTTTCCGATCAATTTTAAACGTCTGGAAATGAACATTTGACTTGTGCCGAGATCTGACTGTTTTATGAGTGTCTTTTTCCACAGCTTCCTTAAGATCGTTCTCGATTGATGTTGGAGGCTATCTACAAGGTAAATTATCTAACATTATATCTCCTAAAGAAAATTTAGAAAATTAATGACAAATATTTTTTTCATTAGAACCCCCTTCACCAAAATCGATATTCCTTATTGTCTGTGCAGCGGAATGACCAAGTTTGAACTCATTAAAATAGGTCGTTCATGCGTGTTTTCATTGTCTCATTTGAAATGAAACTAAAATCTCTATGCTTACTCGGGAATTAAACTAACACTGTTAGTAAATAGAGGATTAGCAACTGTTTGTTATAGATGGCAAATATTACGTTGATAATCAACTGGCAACATTTTTATCCTCCCTAAATTTTAAGATTTAAAAAATGGGACATTTCATGTGTGACAATACAATACCAATAAGGCCTGTTATAGTAAACCCGTTAAACCCATTTTAGTTATGAATTATTTTTTTACATTAAAGTCCTCCTTGAGATGGCCTTTATCTATCTATCTATTGTTAAAAGTGTTTGTTTAAAAACCCTTTATAACCAGGTTAAAAAAATAATTTAATAGGTCAAATTAATTTATTCGTATTAGTTTTAAATTCCATTAGTTTGAAGCAAACACTTTGTTAAAACCTAGGCAAACAAAATTTCATATTTCTAAAATAAAACCAGACAATGAGACATCGAATACGACCAATTTATCATTACCTTAATTCAGTGGTCTCCTAACTTTTTGACCCATGGGCCACATTGTGACCTCAACCTAAGTCCCACGGGCCATGGCTTGTGATGACAAAAAAATTGTTCTTTAAATGACACTTCAGTTGTGAAATGAGCTTTCTAAGAGAAAAAAAAACTGCAAAAAATGTTGTAGTAAGCTCTTTTGTGAGTAAGTTTCTAAATTTCACATTTTTTTAATAGTTTTAAAATTTTACCGTGTAACCAAAGAAACTTTCACAGGCCGGACTGGAGCTGCTTGTGGGCCTGATACGGCCCAGGGGCTATAGTATGGAGACACCTGCCTCAATTGCCAAAAAAAATTAATGTTTTCTTGGAAATTTAAATTTTTGAGTTTTTTTTTGTTTCCTCTAAAACATTATTCGACTTAACAGGGTATAGTGTAACAGGCCTCATATTATTTTGGCATTTTCCTTGAACAAAAAAAATGACAAAACTACGTATGTAGAAGCGCACTTCTATATTAATAATAATCCAATTATGAGTTTAAGAAGATTCATCACTCATAAAGTATATATCTTCAGCGACTAATTTCTTAATGACATGCATTAATATAATTTCATGCATCGATTTCCAAAATAATAATTACAACATTTTTAAATCGTGCTGGGTTAGTAATTAAACACAGATGTTGCACTACTGTTATGGCATTACTGAGGAATACTTAAGAATCATAATATATAATAAACTCACTGTTTGAAGCGGCTTCGCCTTCAAATTTAATTACATAAAAAATAATTTAATCATTGTTAAAAATATTATATTTTTTAATTTAAACTTAAAGCTTACTTAATAAAATAAGATGTTAATACTACATTGATTACACAAATTTAAAAGCATGCATGATAAAAATATCAACTTTTTTTAAAAATCAATTTTGGTTCAATTAACTCTGGAGTAGTCATATGGTTGATATGTTTCACCCATTTATACTTCTTTTTCACGTTTCTCTCCCATTACTACCATCATCCCCTCTCACCTCATATTTTTCTAGACGACCCTAATCATAAACGCTAAGACATTTAAGTTTACTTTGTACATCAATATTCATCTCAAACTAATTTGGTTGACAATTATGCCCCATCTGACCTTTCAAGTTATTTTACCTGATCTTTTAATTGAGAATTATTAATGGTGGTTTTTTAATCAGTTAAGCAGTGTATTTCTATATTTTATATTCAATTTGTTATTTTTTGCTTAACTTAAAAATGTTTTGTGAACTTTTACGATATTTTTCTATAATTATTATAAAACTTTTCTGACATTATAATAAAGTATAAAGTTGTCAACTATTTAAGTAAATTACACGTAACCATTCGTTTGTGTATTAGAGCACAACTACTCCAGAGTTAAAAGAAAATTATCTTTTGAATTGGGTAAAATCTGGCATTTTTACTTATTTTTGTATTTACTTAATATTTATTTTTTTCTATTAAGATCTGAGGGGAAAGGGGTGAGTATCAGCCACCGGATGATTTGGCATGGAATGACCCTTTATTATGATAACAAAAAGGGCCTATTATTTGGCCGTTTATTAATTATTTTTCCTGAACAAGCTCTATTATCCGAAAACCCCTCGATCAATTATTTTGGACTACTGAGATAACACTGTAATTATATAAATTAAACTTATTAAAACTTTGACTAAAATAAAGTGAATTTCATTTAAAATATTTTAAACTTACCTGAAAGGCAGAATATCTGCCAGTCCGTCGGGGTCGGCTAAAAGACGGAAGATACCTCCGGACAGGGTCTAACTCATTGATATTGAGGAGTCTCTCACAGAGCAGCTGGGAAATGATGTACATAGCCTGATTCCAAAGGCATACTGATTTAGTTCCTTCATCGCTCATTACTCGTTTCGCACTTCCTGGTTCTTTCCTCTCTTTTTCGATATCCTCTTCTGCTATGTAGAAATACATTGGTACCAGAGGATCTAAAGAGTTGTAAGAAATATTAAAGAGAATTGTAACAAGACCAATAAATGTTAATAATATTTAGATACATTAAGATCCTTTATGAGGAAGCATAAATAAGTGAATCAAGAATTATTTATTAGTTATTTGTCTGGATAGTCACAGGAACTAGCTTAGTGCAAGGCTAGTGGATTAATCCATTGCTGGTCACCCCAATTTCGGAACATGGCATTCACGCTCTCAGAATACTACACAACTCATTTCTCCACACTAACATAAGATCATCTACAGAATACATCCGAGGATCACCTTCTTCTTATTGCCCTCTTCACCTTCACCTTCCTCTTATTTACAATGGGGCACCAGACGACACCCCATTGTAAATAGCCAACTGTAGGGAGAGAGGGTAGTACATGCAGTCTATTTGAACCCCATACTTGTGGGAAAAAAATGTCAGAAATTAATAAAAATAAAACATTAATTAATTTTCCTGTGTCCGAAGAAGACTTGTCTTCATCGGAACTTTTAAATATTCCAGGATTATTCTCTGAAACCTTAAATGAATCTCTAGTAGGGACCTTACTAAAGACCCTGACTGAAGACGTAGGTACACTCCATGTCAAAACTGAGTGGAAGGACGAGAATATAATGGAGGTGGCTAGTGCTATGGCACAGGCCCCAATCAACTGTATGGACATGGATGTAACAGACTTACCTGACACAGGTACTGTAGGTGGTAGCCCCTCACAATCTAGTCTTGACCAGACAGTAGGCGGAGACTACGCTGGTTCGGGTAGTTCCTAGCAACTACCCGCAAATTCGACGAAGTTACAACTAGCGTGAACTATTGAAGGAAGACATTGCCAATAAGATAGACGAATTGCAGATAGGAGGAGACATTCACCTGAAGTTCGACGGAGTAATCTTCAAACTGGGTGGATGCTGGGTGTCTTACTTGGAAGACCACACAGTGGAATGGTTTAAAGAAATCACACCTAGGACTTCTATAGATGGGGTACAACCCTCCAAGCTTGCGATGCTATTGACTTAACTAAAATCACAAGGGTAGGGGCCTTCTTTCCTTATTTGGCAGTACCTTATGCCAATAGAAAAAGAAAAAATAATCATCTTAGGTAGTCACTCCGGATGAAGAAGAAGAAGAAAAGTAAATTTTATTTACATTTATTCCTCTGAGAATAATAATAATAATAATAATGAACTATGAAATTGTCATTTGTCTAGCATAAAATGAAACGAAATAATTAAATTACGGAATAATGTAACATTAGAATTAAAATAAAGGATAAGTATAAGTAAACAAATAAAATTATAGATAAATAAGAAATATAGATATATACAGATAACTAATTTTTTATTTATTCATCAGATTTTCAAATGTATAAATTAAAAATATATCCAGAAAATGTGCACACGGTAATAATACAATCACATGAAAAGGCTTGTTGAGAAACTACCCATTGGTAGCACTGACACTATTGGTAATAGATAACTAAGAAATTGAGGTTTATAACACTTAAATAGGAAAGCTTAATTCTTACATATATTCATCAGATTCGATTGCTGAGGAAATGGATAAATAATTGGTGTTTAATAGAAGTTAAAGATGGGATTTTGCGTATGGAGGTGAGTAAGGAATTCCAAAACAAGATAGTACACATTTTATAGGATTTTTTAAAGGAAACAGTTCTATGAGAAGGAATGTACACAGGAGTAAGTCAGGATGCTCAGAGGGGATAACTCTTTTTATCAATTCTAACGGTCTCAGAGGCATATAGCCTTCATAACAAAACTAATGAAAGTGGGAGACATATAGTAAATTTTACTGCATCCAAAACCTTTATTGTAGGAAGCTCCTGTTTCCCATACAAGTAATTTTTATAACTACTTTGTGGTTCAATTTCAATAAAGGGGGTTAAGTTTTTGAATTTTTTGGTCGATCACAATGGTTGATTATTGAAAATAATAAACCAAAAATATGTAAAAAACCGTGATATCTCTACTAATAGTGCTTTAATTTCAATGAAACTTCCTTCATTTTTTAGGAAATTTAAATACTTTTGAAACATCTTATCACAATATCAACAAAAAAGTATAAACTTTTCGAGTTATTCGGAATTTAATTTCACCATCCCTCGTAACTTTTTTTCCAGCTTCTTTTCGTTGAAGTATGTTATATAGATAAATTTAAAGGGCGTCGAGAAAATGACTTTAGCGAAGTTTCATTGAAATCTGTACATTCCTTTAGGAGATACAGTCTATAGCAATGCAGGTTTTTCAGCCGCCATTGTGAAAGTAAAAGGCAGATAGTAATGTCGATGAAGGAGGATCATCCTCGGGTGACCTCTGATTTTATATAAAAATTTTTAAAAAAATCGGTCCAGTAGTTTCGGAGAAAATGAGCGGATGGTGTATGGCGTACTGCGGATAGCGGACGGACAAAAAAAGTTTTATTCGTTTTTCGAATTCTACGCATCCTGAAACGTGAAACCTCAAATTTTGAGAGGGGTTAAGTTTTTGAGTTTTTTGGTCGATCACAATGGTTGATTATTGAAAATAATAAACCAAAAATAATCTGATTTAACAAAATGTATTCATATTATAAGATTAATAAAGCAAAGCTAATTACCTCCATATTCATCTTTAGAGAGAACTTTGCTAAGCAATTCTTGATATTCTTGAACTTGTTCTGGTAAGCCAAAAAACATTCCATCAATTATTAGAAACATATATATGAGAGGCCATTCACATTCAACATTTTCAAATTCCTAGGGGAATTAAAACAAACATAAATATTAATGAATGGGGTAATAATAATTAAAAAAATATTTTAACTAGCAAAAATCGGAGCACTTCCATGTTAATAAAAAATTCTTTGTCATTTCAATTTGAATAGATTAAAACTCACTTTACTTTCACCATTTTTGTAGAATCGTCGACTGGAATCTTCAAGAACACATTTGAATCCATCCCGGCTAAATCGTTTAAAACCATTTACACCTTTCAATTTGTCAATTATTTGTCGTTTCGTACGATTAACAAGTGCCACTTCATGACTAGCAAAAGCGGGGAATGATACTGTAGGTAATAAAGATACATCTACTGCCTAAAAAAATTATATAAAAATTGTTGTGTAAAAGACCGTTAATAAAATATTTCATAGATTATAAACATTAATTTATTTATTTAGAGTATATGAAACTCTAAATTTAAATTATTTTCTGTAGTTATTTTTAAAAATAAATACCTTAGAACTTGATTCACGGGGTAGTAATGTTTCAAATATACTTCTGTTGCGATTGTGAGCATCAATGTCAACATATATGACAGACCAGGAAGCACCTTTATCACCAAAGAGGTTACAACCATTGATGGCTTCCAAAGCACTTTTTGCCATTCCAATAGAACTAAAATAAAAATGTTAATTTATATTTAAATTATAGAGGGATGAAAATATTAAATATGATTAACTAAGTAAAATAGCAATGAATTGATTAGTACAATAATTTAATTTAATTTAGATCGAGAGTTCTTAGCCTGCATGGTTATATGCCTCTCTTTCAAGGCTTGAAATAAAAATCTGGTGTAGTGTGCACATCACACAACTTTCATCACCACCCTTTTAAGTACGAATCAGTATTTTTAGACAAAAAGAAGTGAAAGTTAAAATTATAGATGGTATGAAATATTTTTTAAAACAATTAATTACGATATTTTTTTATATCCGTCTAATATATTATCCTTATGTTTTTTCATCACTACCCATTTCCTTTAATGACTATATTTTTAATTATTTATTTGATTATAATAAATAATCAAGTGCCACAAAATATTTTTAGTCTGACAAAAGTGCCACTAATAAAGAAGACTGCTATAATTATTTATATTTCATTGTAGGCATTTTTATTTGTTTAAGCATAGGTATATATTAAAATTTCAATTTTCATCTTGCTGCATTCTAAATAATTAAATATTAAATAATACCAACATTAGCATTTATGAAAACATATATATGACTATATTGTTATTGGACCTTTTGACCAAACATGGGTGCTCATTTGGGTATGTCTGGTCCCTTTATTACTACTATTCTCTGTTATGATCCCTTATTTCTCCTTTATTTAATCATAAAATTCTTTCATATTCTATACTTAACCATTTTTTATAACCGGTTACAATTTGAATTGGATAATTATTTCAAATAAAAAAAAATAAAGGTACTTTAAAGAAAGAAATTTTGAATATTTGACATTTAAGCCCTGTTAAAGAATAGCAATAAAAATAAAACCTATATAATATTAAAAACTGTTAAATAATACTCTGATATAATGAATTTAATCAAAAATGTTACGTTAGAGCCGTTTTGGGGAAAATTGTAAAAATGTGTAAAATCAATGATAAAAAGTGGCACTTCTGGTTAGCCAATTTTCAGGAACATGTTACTGTAACTTCCTAGCCATATACATATCTTAAATAGGGAATATCAGTTTTGAACGCTTTTCGTTTTTGAGCTAGACTGTTCACACACACAGATCATTTTGTGGATCTTGGTTATTTGGACTGGGAAAATTTTCATGATCGCAATACTTTCTCCTTACTATATATTACATATTATAGGCAAGTAAAAGTAAAAAGTTAAATTTTATTTTTTACCAGTTTTGATATTTTGTTGACTGGAGCTTTTATTTTTTTATTGTTATTATTTCATATTTTAACTAGAACTTGTTCACCCTGGAAATTTTCAATTAAAGGAAATTTAAAATTACAGTACTTTTATTTTATTTTTTTTTTTTTTTAATTCTTAGAAAAGCAATTCATTTCGCCAAAAATTAAATTAAAAAAATATTAATTGTGGAGTAGATTACTTAATGAGTGAATCAGGTAATTCATTCAAGACAATTATATCTGCAATCTTAATCCAATTACTGCTTATTTCTTATTTAGCATAACTTTTTTTTTAAGTATATATATATAAATAAAAATAAAACTTTAACAAAAAATTCATAATTTTATTACAAAGAATGTTCTTTAGAACTTTGTATTATAGTAGAACTTTTATTATTTCCGAGTAAGGAGTAAAAGTTCTATTGATTCTTCTTCTTCCTCGGTGCTATGGTCTGCGTGGGACCTGCGCCTCCTTCATGGTTCTTTGTCACTCTTAATGATCTGCTGTGGCAGCTGTTATATTAATTCAGGACAGGTTAATTTGCATCGGATTTGGACATATTGAGAGGATAAGTTCCGAGGGAAGAAAATAAGAAGATCCCACAAACTCGAAATTAATAGATTGTCTAAGAAAACAAATAAGTTACAAAAAAAACATGGTCCTCGATGAACAGTTAGTCTAATAGAAAGGGGATTAACAAAAAGAGAAAGGTTGCATATTCCCTCCACTATGACTGCTTCTTCATTGTACTCTATCACCAAACAAATACAGATAATAATGTTTTGAACATTAATCATTTGAGTATAACTAATTACATATAAATCAAAAGAAAAAAAAAGGCCAAACCTTGCATGGATTTCAGGAACTCCATCATTATATTTACTACCTCTTTCCCACATTCCAAAATCTGGTGTCCTATAAGCTCTCTCGACATAATACACAAGGTTCTGTACAAAAGCAACTTCTGATTGGGTGTAAATAATTTGTAGGCCTGACGTTATCATTTGTACCAAAAATATAAGGTATAGTGAAACAACGTCGATCTGAAATTATAGAAGATTATAATTAAAAATGTTATTTATTTTTATATAGACATCATCTCAGCCAAGATTCAAACTAAAAACATTAATAATTAGTAAATAAAGCGAGAGAGACTTAGGCAAATTAACCTGAAACAATTTTTAATTATAATAAGGTTCTCATTGATAATGACCAATTGGTTAAAACATTGAAAATGAAAATAAAAAATTGTTGACACAAATGGATCAAACTGAAGATTATTAATAATAAAAAAACAGTTATATTTATTAATTAAAATTGGCTGATATACATGTTATGAAATACAGACATACTTTAATGACATTGCAGATCTAACCTTTAACTTTAAGAAATAATCTAATAATAATTTGATATTATAATAGTTTCAATATTAAAAGTTATGAATATGAAAGTTATAAGAAAAATCTAAAATCACCGCAGTTTCGACTTGAGGTAATGCCTGACTAGTGTTCAAGGTTCAGTTTAGTAATCATTGAAACGAGCTCAGTTAAGATACATATGAAAAGTGAGTTAGTAATTTCAGTTTTAGTGAATTTTTTATGAATTAGGCTGAAATCAATGTAAAAGTTATATGTTTATGTCAACATATTTAATTTATATTTTTGTTTATTAAATACAAGACCTTCAGTGAGGAAAATATATTTTTTTAAATAATTAAAATTGTAACTCATTGATAACAACAATAAATAAATATTAATTTTATTATTTTTTGAGTTAACAAAAACTTTCTGAAAGACATAATGTTATACATAAATATATTTTCCAAGGTCTCACTTAAAATGAGGTATAAAGAAGGCAATTTCAAAAACATTGTTTCGTATGTTGAGATGTACCTTTACAGCAAAGATAATCAAAAAAAAATTTATATCATATGTTTTTCTAAAAGAAAAGGAATATATTTTAGAAGTTTCTGAACAGGTTCAATTCATACTATAAAAAAATTTAAATGCAGCAATTAAAAAATCATATATGGTAAATAGTCAGGACAAAGTAACTTTTAACGTTTTCATTATTGCCAACGTTTCAACCCAAACACGTGGGTCATCATCAGAGCATTTTTCAAGCACTGAAGGTATTCAAGTACTCATAATGTATTCGGAGTACTTGAAAACAATTTAGAATACAATATGTATTCAGAGTACTTGAATACCTTCAGTGCTCATGATGTTTGGATTGAAACGTCGGCACTAATAAAAAACTTAAAAATTACTGCATATAGACTATTTATCACCTATGATACGTAGAACAGTCGACTTCCTTCAACAATCTAGTAATTAAAAAGGAATAAAATGAAATGAATTATCATTAAAGTTAACTTCTTTAGTAGGAATATACCATTAAAAATAAGAGGGTCCTATTTTTGTATCATAAAGGGCATTTGAAAAATATTCTCATGCAGCGAAACATATTAAGGTATGAATAACCACCTGTAGATGGTTATATTCTTCATCAGAATATACTTCGGCTCCACTGAGGAGGTGGAATTTACTATGAAGAGCGAATGCATCACATTGTTTCTTCTTAAACTGTTCTATCCTGGCAGACTGTTTGATCCAACAAGTTAAAATACCTCTCATACATTTTACTGCAGACTGTCCAAGTTCATAGGATTTTCCTCTATCATCATCGATTCTCCTACAAAAGTAAAATAAATACAGATTTCAAATAGAGTATAAGAAAATGAGGTTATCTATCAACCATAAGATTAAAGAAAAATCTTTAACCATTAGTTGGTATATATAAAAATAAATCTTTTTTTTTTTTAGTATTTTCAATATTTAAAAGAATGTAATATTTAGTTCTAAACACAAAGTTTAGGTGTGAATACATGGTGATTCAACTTAAACAGATTTATGAAGAGAAGAATAGTTGGGGTGATCAGTCAAATAACGAAAAGAACCAGATAACAAGGTATGAAAAACATAAAAATTAAAGTAAACTGCAGTTGTTAGAATAATGACAATAGTAAGAATTAAGAGATAAATAATAATAACCGGTACATAGAGTGGAATGATGAAGTAAACATAATAAAAAAAGGTGACATAAGTATTGAAATGGGAATCTTAGAATAAAATGTAAAACAGAAAAATATGAAAATGTCATGTAATATAATGTCACCTTTTTTGATTATGTTTACTTCATCATTCCACACTTTGTACCGGTTATTATTAATTATCTCTTAGTTCTTACTATTGTCATTATTCTAACAACTGCATTTTACTTTAATTTTTATCTTTTTCATACCTTGTTATCTGGTTCTTTTCTTAGCCCTGATGATGGCTTGAACTTCAGGTCGAAACGTCGGCAAATGTCAAAATAAATATTATCATTTATTTTTGCCTTCTTATTTGACTGATCACCCCAACTATTCTTCTCTTCATTATTCATGACAGTCAACCATTTATCCACAATTATAAACAGATTTATATTTGTATTAGTTGGTCTTTGTGATAATTTGCATAGTACATTGGTCAGGGAAAAAATGACAATATAATATGTAATTGAGTAAATAAAATGTATTATGAGAGGGAGGTATTCATTTTCTTTTCCATGTTTGATTACAATGGTTCATTCAAAATAGTAAACCAAAAATGTAAAAAAATAATTTGATATTTTAAATTAAATTATAATTAGCTGTATCTTTGTGAAAAATAGTACAATTGAAATTATTTTTTTTGTTAATTAGGACAAATTTCTAATTACCATAATTATGATCAATAATAAATTGTATACTTTTTGAATTATGAGCAAATAAAGTTTCTTTTTATCCTGACTTTTCATAAGTGTGAGACTTTTTTTTCACTTTTCACTGACTTTTCTTTCACACATGTAGGAGATAATAATCTTCAAAATTATGACTTAATTATTAGATTTGATGAACTATTAACTAAGATAAAGTCAATGAAAAATTACAAAAAAAAAAAGTCAAAAATAATAAAGATTGCAACAGACTGAAACAAATCAAAATGGCAAACAATTTTAAAGTGCCATATTCAGAAAATGAATATTATGTGATAGACAAGTAATGGTCAATCAAACTGCAGTTCTTATATTGGACATCTTCTAATTATATGTAACAAAAACTTTTAGGATTGATAGAGCATAGGAAACCACACTGTCTATTAGAATACTTTGTTTTTCTAAAGAAACTGAGAAAAAAATATTAACAAAAACCTAAGAAATTAATAAAGACCTATCGAGAAGAATAAGTGCCACTATTATCACCTGTATGATTGGTATAAACTCCAAATAGCTGCTGCACAATAAATGCTCTCCCTGACACTTCCAATGGTCTCATCAGTGGATAAACAAGGAAACAGACCAGTAACAGGGCTCTGATACCTCAGCAATTGTCTTTTAACTGAAATAGACAAAATTAGTTATCTCTTTATGATAGTAATTTGGTTTTATTATTTTTTTTTTTAAAAAAGACATACTTATTCCATAAAAAACATCCAGTTGTCCAACAGCTTCCTCATAGCTTGAAATTTTTTGTTGAATTTCACATTCTGTTTCGTAACTCATAGAGTTACTAGGAGACATTATAAGATTTATTTAAAAAAAAAATGCACTAAAATATAAAAACTAAGATTCGTATTTTTTAAAAAAACAATTCCACATTGCCCTTAAACACTTTTAATATCTTTATCATTTGTGCAGTTTAGTAACGATTCGACTGTACACAATCCATCAGCCAAAGAGGTGTAAATTGTATAGGGTATACAACCTACCTACTTTTGAAATCAACCCCTAGAGTTCAAGGAATATACTATCGGTTTTTCAAGAGAATTCAGAAGGTACTGTATCGCTAGTACTGCTCAACATAGCGACTACCGAAAGTTGATCACTGCTTTAGGAGAATAGAAAGAAGTATATTTTGTATATGTACACTGACAGGCAAAAAATTTCACCCACTTAATTTTTTCATGTTTTCATCTAAAAATATTTCTGCTTTGGATTGGTCTATTGTTTTTAATGAATAAATAGATAATCTTTTTGTTTGTTTTCAATTAGTCAATATAGAGGACAATAACCCTTAATCCTTAATTCTATGAAATGATTCTACATTCCAATGTTTACTTTCTATGGAATCAAAATGTTTATTCAGTATCATTAATTCAATGCCGTTACTTGCAGCACATTTCTTAGTCTCCGGCTTTTAATTTTTTCAATATTAAGTTTAAAAATGCCTCTTAGTGCTGAGGATGTTGCGCGTGGTGTGGCACTTATTGATGATGGACGTTTCATTAGATATGCAGCTAATGCCATCGGAGTTCCATATGAAACTTCAGGCGTTGTCAGGAAACTGGTTCTTACAATAGAAGGCCCGGTTCTGGACGGCCTAGGGTAACAGAACCACGGGATGACCGGTTTTTGACTTTGAGAATTTTACGAAACCGGCACCTTACCGTTGTTCCAGCGATTCATCAGCTCGAAGAAGTTCGAGGTGTGTAAATTTCTGAACGTACCGCTCGGAGAAGATTAAATGAGTATGGATTAATGGCATTTCGTCCAGTAAGAGGACCAGAGTTGACCAGAACTCGCAGAGTAACACGGCTGACTTTTGCTCGAGAACACAGCCATTGGACTATGGACGAATGGAGTGCTGTACTTTTTACAGATGAGTCAAGATTCGATCTCCAGACGGGCGTGAAAGAATGTGGAGAAGAAGAAACGAAAGATATGCAGCCTGTAATTTTTCCCATAGCCAACCTTTCCAACGTGGTTCCTTGATGGTGTGGGTTGGGATTTCAATGGAGCGCCGCACAGAATTGGTTGTTGTTCGTGGAGGGTCTTTGACGGCCATTCGCTATGTAGATGAGATTTTAGAACCTCATGTGTTGCCTATTCTCAACGAAATCAGCGATCGTTCTATGCTAATGCATGCCTACATGTCGCCCGAATAGTGCAGACGTTCCTTCAACAGAACAATATTGAGGTTTTAACTTGGCCAGCACCTTCTCCAGATTTGAACCCCATTGAGCATTTATGGGATAACATCGGAAGAAGAATAAGAGCGCGTGCAACACTTCCTGATACATTGCAGGACCTTGAAAGGACTCTTCGGGAGGAATGGGCTATCCTCCAGCAAAGGGACATTTCCCGACTGGTGGAAAGTGTACCGAGGTATCTTAAAGAAGTAGTGGAGGCAAGAGGAGGAAACACGCGCTACTAAACGATGAGGTAATTAATTTCTTTTAGAATAATAATGGTTCGTTTTGGAATCTTGGAAACATTGGAATCTAGAATCATTTCATTTCAGAATCATCCAACTCTATATTAACATTCCTAATTGAAAACAAACAAAAAGATTACTTATTTATTCATTAAAAACAATAGACCAATCCAAAGCAGAAATATTTTTAGATGAAAACATGAAAAAATCAAGTGGGTGGAATTTTTTGCCTGTCAGTGTATATTCTTCTTTGGAAAGTAAATATAACTGTAAATTATAACCGTCGTGTTTATCAATTGACAACCTTTTGGAATGTATGGTTTAGTTGCTTAATACTATTTATTAAATTGGTAAGAAATGCCTTGTTATTTACTGATATTGGTAGAAGCTGTTTATTAGGAATAGAATAGTTAACTTCTTTCTTTCCTTGTAAAACTTCAATTCAATATTAACTTTTATAGTGAAATGGAAATATATCTTCACTTATTCCTCCTAAAACTCCACTTCCATAATAGCTATAAACTGTGCAGTGTTAGAATTTGTTGAATAACACTGATCTGAGTTATTACAAAAACCATAACATAGTGCCCAATATGTAGTCACTAATTTTAAGCAGTCCAATCATGAATTTGGTCTAAAAAAATTTAAATTACAACATTCTGCTCTTCTAAAACTAATTTATCAATTTTTTTTTTCATTATTTCTAGATTGCATAGCTCATGTTCGAAGATTAATTAAACGTAGACGGGTGATTTTCTTTCTCTTTTTAGCCTAAAGGTTTTCTGCCATTTTTACTTTTTTCCTTCTTGTTAATATTTTTAATTTATGCAGTTCGAATAGAAAAGTTCGTTTGTTCAGGTACCCAGAAAAGCAGATTAGAAAATATAAAAAATGGAATATCATTAGGAGGAATTCTCTCACCTATTCTATTTTTCATTTTCATAAATGATATCATTAAATAACTACCGAAATAGGTAAAAGTCTCTCGAAACGCAGATAACTTAGCTTTTTGGAGCCATGCCACTTCGATTCTTGCAGCAAAACAGGATCCAAGCGGCCTTAAATTTTATACACAAATGGGTGGAGAGGTGGGATATGAAAATTAATATCTCAAAATATACTGTCTTCAGCCTCTCTCTGAAAAAGCTAGCAGACCTACCTAAACCTCAAATTGGACCTCACCAAAATCAACAAAGATGACCACCCAAAATGCCTTGGGATAGTTCTAGGTCCACGGCTTACCTGGAAAAACAAATAGAATAATCCATAATTAAAGCCACAAAAAGTTCTCATGAAGAAAATTGCAGGTTCCACCAGATGTTGAAAGCTCTACTCTAGGTATGTCTGACTTGTGATCGAATATGGAATCAGCAGCTGGGGAATGGCAGCTCAATCCAACTTCAGAAAAATAAACGCAGCTCAGAACCAAGGGCTCAGGATAATTACTGGAGCTATTAAATCTACTCCAATCGGCAGAAGAGATGTTAAACTCCTGAATCTTGAAATAAAAACAAACCATCCACTGCGAAAAATAATACATGAAGAAAACCGAAACTGGATTAAACACATCAGTCCAGCTCACAAAATGATTGATTGCATTGATCTCGGAACTCAAACTAACCCAAATAAACGCCGAATCAATTAAAACAACAGAAAGCTCACCACCATGGGACTCTCTTCCTTAACTTGAAATTGTCTTGGTAGTTCCAGGTATCAAGGAGCCCAATGAACCCCAAGTAATGAGGTTTCTGGCTCTGAAAATGAAAAATGAGAGATACCCCTCAACCACATGGACTCGGATATACACTGATGGATCGGCTACTGGTGCCACGGCTAACAAAGGGGCAAAAATACACATAGAATTCCTGGCTCGCACCACCCTAGACAAAGTCATTCCGACAGGTTGCATATGTCCAAATTTCAAGGCTAAACAAGAGGTTATAGTAGAAGGCAGCAGAACAATGAGGCAACCTATAATTTCATCAGATGCGGCATCAGTACTTCTGTCCCTCAAGTCCAAATGGAAATCTAGACAGCAGAGCCTAGCAGGAGAAATAGTATAGCTGCAACTCCAGTACGGAGTAGTACTCCTGAGGATACCAGAGTACTGCTGACTAAATAGAAATGAAATAACTGACCAACTGGCAAAGGAGCTGCTCTGAAACTCTTCAGAAAGCTATTTCTATAAATAGTAACTGCGGTTACAACAAAGGTGGAATGATGCCCATCCACAATACAATCGTGAAGACTGTTATAGGTTGAGCAGGAAAGAGCAAATTTTACTCTTTAGACTCAGAACAGGTCACAGCAGTATGAGGGCATACCTCTCTGGAAAATTTAAAATTGGAGAAAACCCTCTCTGTAGCTGTAGAACTGGCTACCAGAACACACAGCATATCCGTCAAACATGTTCTGAGCTGGAGTACATCAGAAAGCTAATTTGGACAAACCCCACTGACTTGGCAATGAAGCTCTACAGTTGTCTGGAGAATCTCAGAAATAGTGTTGAGTTTTTACTCTCAGTCCCAGACTTCACCAATTGAGTGAAGTTCAAAGGAGAAGAAGAATTTAGGCAGTCAGGAATTCATATCCTATCCAAATAACTTAAAATCACTAAAAAATTCAGATTTATCTTAAAAAGCTGTTGATATTTCAAGAAAATTGGCTTTCTCCATTTTCTGTAACAATCAGAAGTTATTAAGATACTTTTTTTAAGCTGGTAGTATTTGTTGTGGATTTTGGATGGAATCACTTTGATGGGTGGGCTCAAGATATCATGATCAAACTATAAGTGAAATTTTAAGAATGTCTGGGTATCTAAAAGAAGGCGGAGGTGACCGTACTGTCTGGTAAGACCGCAACATCAACTGAAAAGGAACCTTCAGGGGTTTGTTTAACTCTTGAGAAACCTTTGAGCAAGAGGAAGTTGAAAGAAACGCCCAAAAACTCACCAACCCACAATTTAGCGAAAATTAGTTATTGTTTGTTAACAGTTCTTAATCTATTTGCCATTAGTGAGGAAAGCAAGAATGCACTAATTCCTTATGTTCCACTATTGACCATTTCAAAATCAGTGAATTTCAAAACCATTTTATTCAGGGATAATGTGTAGTTCACTTATCATATTTGATTTATGTTGTTTGATTAATCACAATAAATTAATTTCTGGGTTTTGAATATTTATGAAGTATTTTTGTTTATATCTTCAATATATTATAGTTTTAATTTTAACTAATATTTTTTCCCCAGATATTTGGAGCTTTGGTACTTTAGTAAAAGAAGAAATGGCTGATGAAATCGAAAATGAGCATTGTAAGTTTTTTCCTTTTAAAATTTAATGAAATATGTACTTTTCCCTATGATAAATCGTTTCTCTTTTACAACTCTCAATCACAGTGTCTACCAGTCAAGAATTCCTGAAAATTCAGTGATTTTGTATTGTTGGAAAAAGTTGTGAATTCAATTGAGTTTCATTAAAATTATTAGTTCTAATTATCTTGTTTCAATTATCATAAACTATTAATTAATGAATTTTGAAAGATTAAAGAAAGAAAGAGACCTCTTGTTAGAGATTCTATCCGAACAGATACAGATAATTATGTACTGCTTAGCTTGTTCAGTGAGGCAATGTTAAGGAGTTATCTTAATCTTCCAGCAGAAGTTTGTTTTATATTTCAATTTTATTCGTTACAACTTTTATTATTGATGTAATAAAATGAAAATATTTTTTTATTATCCTGGGACTGTTGCCCCTTTAGGACAAATTACAGATACAGAATAAATGCCTGTGTGGTCATACATAAAATTAATTATTTACAATTCTTATTTAAAGAATAAAACAAAAAATAGAACTATTTCACTATTGTATTGATTTTTTTTTTATAATTTGCAATAATAGTTTGGTGGCCCATGTAATAAAACATCATATTTCATACTAAGATTTGTCCTGATAAATTGACAATGTCCACAGGACTGATGAAAAAAAACTTACATCTGCCGACATATTGCCACTTGAATACAAAAGGACAGCCAGGTGAAGATAAATAGAGACCCTATATATGTAGAAAACTTATATATAGAGAAGACTTATAGATATAGAAAGCTACCAACTCTTTCAATTTATAGTATTTACTGTCTTAAGGCATGAAATTATAGTCGGTTACCCCATACTCTTGGATTTCAAGTCGAAAATTTGAATTCACGTTTTGAAAATTTGAATTGAAGGTTCAAGAAGTTTACTTTTTTCACTTAAATCGGTGAAACTATGCATTCTAGCTATAAGAATGTTATAAGTAAAATTAAAGCTGATATAATTTGCAACAGAAATGGTTATGTAGTAGTTTTCACTAAATTTCACAGTTTCCATGATATCTGTCCTTGTAATTCACTAACTTTGAAAAAAAAATTGTTTTTGCCTCGCATTTTTATGATGATGATCATCGCTACTATTTATCTTTTCAATTTACGAAAAAGTCATGAGGAAGAAAGTTGTTTAATATTAAATTTTCTTTAAGAATATATATTAATTTACTCTCTTATCTTCAACCATTCAAAACCTAGAGAAATTATAACTTAATGATTACACAGCTTGTAATCTGTATATAATACAACATATATGTGTATACATTAGCTTATATAATATTCATATAAATACTGTCTTATATATTTATATATTATATACACATAGATTAAGAGCTGTGTAATAGTCAAAATTGCAAAAAGAAAGTTTTTCTGTATAGTTTCGGAGTTAATAATTAAGTTATAATTGCTTTAGCTTTTGAATGGTTGAAGATAAGATAGTAAAGTATGATATATATATATATATATATATATATATATATATATATATATAATATATATATATATATATATTCTTTACTTAAATTTAATATAAAACCACTTTGTTCCTCATGACTTTTTCATAAAATGAAAAGCTTAAGTGTTGGCGAGTCAAATGATGATAAAAAGGTGAGGCAACAATTTTTTTTTTTTTTGAAGTTAGTAAATTATAAGGACGGATATTACGAATACTATAGAATATAGCAAAAAATATATCCATGTCAGCTTTAATTTCACATATAGCATCGTTATCAATAGAACGCATAGTTTCACTGATATAAGTGAAAAACTAAAAAAAGTAAGCTTTTTGAATTTTAAATTCAATTTTTCGTCTTTTAATCCATACGTATGGGATAACTGACTATTATTTCATGTTTAAGACTTAAAAGGGTTGGTAGCTTTCTATATCTATAAGCCCTCTCTATTTATAAGTTTTCTACCTACATAGGGTCTCTTTTTCATCATTTTCACCTTGCCGTCATGTTGTATTCCAGCGGCTATTTGCTGTCAGACGTGCATTTTTCTCATCAGGCCTGAGAGTTCTTGAGTCACATTTTGCATTTTTTTTGTGGAGAGTGAATTAGATTGAGCCCTCAGATCTCCGATGTGTAACGTACCTCAATGATGTATTTAAAATTGTATATTAACACCACGCCATGTTAGACAGGCGAAAAGGGAAAAAATAGTGCTGAAAACCAAATGACAATTTTTATTGAAGATATGGAGTAAAATTTCTCAGAAACTAAAAATCTTGCCTGAATACTGTAAGGAAGAGAAATGTTCAGCATTTCATTCTCTTTATAATGAGCTATTATTTATAATTTAAATTTCATATTATTAATCTCGCCTTATTGATGTTTTCACTTCTATCGCGTGGCTTTAAGCAATTACCATAGTATTTTGTTTTTTATGTTTTATCTGGTTTTTCCCTAGCCCTGATGAAGGCCTGAAATGGGTTGAAATATTTGCATAAAGAAAATAAATATTTTTTGAGTACTTCTAATGATTATAACTCCCCAACCAACCTTCCTCATTATAAAAATCTACTGAACCATTTCTCCACTATCAACATCACTTTTGTTTTTGTTTTTTCAGACATGACTAGTTGTGAGGTTTTTATAAAAGAAGAAAACACATATGATCCTGAGACTAGCTGTAAGTTTTCTCTTTTTAATATGAAATAGAAGACTTAAAGTTTTTATTTTTATTTTTATGATTTATAGCTTATACTTTTAAATTTTTTTAATTTATACTTTTTTATTGAAGTTGAGAGAGATAGCGGTAGCTACGAAAGCTGGTATAGTAGTTATATTAAAGTTAATTACAAGGATAAAAACAATTGTCAGAATTAGCAGTCAAAAACCATTACAATGAGTTGGCCAACCTTTTGATCCAAACATGTGGGAAAAAATGATAAATATAAAAGCATAAGAGAAGGAAAAGGTGAAATGTACAAACGAGATAATGGTAATAAGCATAATATAAAACAACATTTAAGTATGATAAGAAAATGATTTTTTGTTATGAATAAGTGTACATGGTAAGTATATCAAAATTAAGAATTAATAAACCAAATTTAAAAAGTCAAAGTTAAACCAAACCAAAGTTAAATTAACAAATATGACAAAAAACGTATAGATATATAGTTTAATAAATATAAATAGTTTCTTATGTTATACGCTTTTTGACAAATTTGTTAATTTTTATTTATATACGTTGTTTTTGCATACTTCTTATTTATTGAATTGTTTTTGTTCTTGTTTTATTTTCACTAATTATTTGATTTATTAATTGTTACTTTTGATATACTTACCTTTTTCATTTATTTATGACAAAATTGTTTTCTTATATATTTCAATTTTTTTTTTTTTATAATGTTATGCTTATATAACTGTTATCTCATTTGTATGATTTATAGGAAGGAGATGGTCTGTGGGCCGATCATAAAAAGACTTAAAATAAAATATTGTTATCACTATTTTAATTCTTTTGGCTTAAAATAAAATAGTTTTTTTTAAGCCAAGACAACAATTCAATGCTCGGTAATTTGTTAACGATAGAAAACCACGCAAAGTTGAACGATATATTTTATTTTACAGTAGGCAGCATTAAAATAAGATCATTCATTATGAATGATTAAATGCCAGCAATATTTATGTCTATGTTTATGTTTACCACAAAACATTGTTATCTTCGACTAAGAAGCTCATCATATGTATTGTTGCAATCTGCTACATTGTATTAAAGGAATATATTATTGCTATTTTTAAAATGTATACTTATTTGATTCTTTTTATATATTTTCAAAGTCAACACTTTTTATTTATATTGTTGTACAGTTGTTTTTTCTTTTTTGTTTTTTTTTTCTTTTTATTTTTTCTATCACAATTTATATATCTAATTTATCTTATTTATGAAAAAGAATATTTCTCCGATTTATTTCTATATTTGTATAATACTTTATTTTGATTTTTTTTTAATGTAATAATGTTTTTTTGATGGAGCCAGACCTCCTGTAATTGTATATATTAATTACGAAATACAGAATTTTCATTCATTCATTCAGTGGCTGAGGAGACAGCGGATAGCTGTCAGGAATAGTCAACTCTACAAGGATAGATATTAGTTGTCGTTGGACTAGTTAGCCTGCAATATACAAATAATTTTTATTTTATTTTTTTATAACCAATGTATGAAATATTAAAAAAAAAAAAAACCTGTACCGCCACAACCAATGAATGGTCTTGGGTTCAATACTGTTTAGGTTGGTTGTTTTGATTTTTAGGCGTAAAACATCTAGATCATCAGCGCCTTATCCATAAGATATTGTTATTAAAATTGTTATTAAAATATTTAGTTGGTAGGTTCAATGGAAAAAAATAAATAAATAAAGAAAATATATAAAAATAAATAAATAAAAAATTAAATAAATAAGTAAAAATAATAGTTAAAAAATATATACATATAGAAAATAAATACATACAAAAAAAAAATAAGTAAAAGAGTAATAATAATAAAAAATAAATAAAATAGGGAGAAAAAAATGGTAATATATATATATATATAAAAGAAACCAAAATTCATGAGGATCGAGAGAAGAAGGGACCGAGGAGACCGGATCGTTCGGCTGGGTGGAATCCGCCTGGAAAAAGTTAAGGATTTTAAATACCTGGGCGCTCACCTTAACGAGTTCGGATGGATGGATGGAGAAATTAAAGAGAGAATTAAGACGGCAGGAAGATGCTTTTACTCCCTCAAGTCAGGCTTCTTAGACAAAAAGGAAATCTCAAAGACCACTAAGAAAATTGTCTTTAAGAACACTTTCCTCCCTATATTGACGTATGCAAGCGAGTCTTGGACCCTCACTGCCAAGCACAAAAGCCAAATCCAAGCTATGGAAATGCGCTATCTAAGGAAAATAGAGGGAAAAACGAGAAGAGATCGCGTAAGGAACGTGACCATACGAGGTAATCTGGACCTGAGGCCTGCAGAGGAGATAATCCAAGAAAACCAACTTAGGCGGTTTGGACATATCTCGCGAATGGCTGATAACAGAATTGCCAGGGCTACCTACGAGGTCAAAGTGGAGGGAAGGAGGCCACAGGGAAGACCAAGAAAAAGATGGGAAGAAGGAGTTAAAGAAGCCTTTGACAGAAGAGGAATGGACTGGAGTAGGAGAAGACAGCTGGCACAGGATAGAGATTCGTGGATCAGGCTCTATAAGAAGGAACCTCACACTGCTCAGCGGTAACAGAGGACTGGATTAAGAAGAAAACAAATTAAATAAAAGAAAAAGATAAATAGAAATTATTATTATAGCTCTTTCATTAAATTTACCCTTGTTAGAAATGTCATTATTTTGTCAGTTCTATTGCTGTTGTTTCCTAAGGCTAGTGATTTATTTTGTGATATTTCTAAGTCATTTAATTTACGACTATAATACGGAATACTATTTAGGGAAAGTACTGTTCCAGTGGTTATGCAGGAAGGAGATCGGGCCAGGATCATGCTCAACCAACAGGTTTTTTCCCTTAATTAATTATATAATTAAGGGTACCAACTTTGTAGAGGCTGGGTGTGGCCCAGGAGGATCTCCCTCCCTACCCCAGTGTTACCCCACAGCCAATGAAACCGAATAAATTATTTTTTTGCCATGAGCCAGGATTCGAACCTGGGAAAAAAACTGTAACGGAATTTTCAACAGAAATATATGTTTCAAGATTCCCTGAATCCAAATGACCAAGTCTCGCAATAAGGTCTATGTGTGTGTGTGTATATGTAAACCTTTTAACTCAAAAAGAAAAAGTTATACGAAACTGAAATTATTTACTCAATGTATATATACGCCTGGAATGTTACAGTAACTTTTTTGTCAGAATTGACTGACCGGTAATGTAACTTTATAGTATCAATTTTATACATGTTTACAATTTTAGAGAACGGCTCTATCTCTTTTCTTATTTATTTGACATTTATACATTGATGGGTCCTTTCCCAAATATAGGTTTTGAGATTCTGTAAGTTAAAATAGTATTTGTACTTTGAAAATATAGAAGGAAGATAACCAAAACCAATTTTTTAAAAGTTAAAATGAGCATTAGATACAGATTAAGTTGTACATAGAAGTTTCAAATATAGTTATTGTTCAGCTATTGTTCTTGTTTGATATTTGAAGGCTGACTGCTCTTTGCAATGATAAGATAAATTCATAATTTTGAGTTGAAATCCTTGTGTATTAGCCATGTGAAATATTTTAATTTAATTAAGTTTATGGGTTAATATTGAAAAAAATAATGAATAATTATTTGTTTTCATTTCAGCTCCCTCAATCGGACAAGATGAAGGACATCAAATTTATAATGGTAAGTCAGTTAAAAATTAAAAAAAAAAAATTATTTTATGGAATTATAAAATTAATATAAATCTGAATATCTATTTATATATATGTTTTTTTGTGTGTTTGTGTGTGTGTGTGTGTGTGGTGGAGAGAGTTAAGGTGCCTGTAAATATTTATATATATTTATTTATTTATCACAATGGCGGGGCTCCTCAACCTCTTACGGGTCATTTTAGCCCTTACAAAATATTTTATATATATTTATCACTCATGAGTTTTATTTTTAATTTTTAAATTTAGCTGACAATGTTTCATCGGTAATGGAAGAAAAGTTAATTAATGCTGTGAGGCAATATGAAGAGCTCTATAACACCAACCATGCCAACTACATGAGAAGCAAGTTAAAAATGAAGGTTTGGGGAAAGATTGCTAAGAAGTTGAATCTTTCAAATGGTAAGTACTTATTAACACTTAATTTCAGAAGAAAATAAAATTAGTTGGCTTACAGGGTCAGCTGTTAGAGACCTAACCATAATAACAAATGTTTCCATGCACTGTTGTTTCATTGATCTACAATTTAAAAAGGAAAAGACAATTTTTTTTGGTACTTTTTGACTAGCAGGCCGGCACCGAACCTCACTTCTTACCTCTCTTATCTAACGTCACGTCACATAACCTCCCTCTTCTTATACCGCTAAACCTCTGAGTTGTTGCATTCTTTAGTTTTCACTTATTCCCTTATTATGTTCACTTATTAAATTCTTTACTTTTGGCCCGTTTGTGTTTATTTTTCATTATGACCATTTCCAAGTGAATCACCGGTATAATTTTGTCGATCCATCAACTGGGGTTCATACTCAACACATAGAACGATTATGGGGCTCAGCTAAGTGGAGAAATAAAGTACATAGAGGAACTGCCAGACAACACCTCGCTTCATATTTGTGCGAATTTTTGTGGCGGCGGGTTCACAGAGAAGAGGACCCATTCCTCGCTATTTTAAATAGCATAAAACAATTTTGCTTCCAAAATAAATAAGACAAAGTGAAAATAAATTGTACATAGTAATGTTGTTTATAGTGTTGATATTTTTTCTTTTCTATGTAAATATGTTCTTTAAATGTTTTTTATTATTTCATTTTCATTTTTTATATCTACATATGTTCTTCAAGTGTTTTTTTATTATTTCATTAATATATGTGTTGTAAAATAAAAGTATTTTTTTTGTTATTAAATTTGTTTTTGTTTCTGTTTATACTTTCAATAATACGAATATAATACAATAATACGAATATAATACAATAATACGAAGATAGGAAGTAGGAGAAGGCTTATCACTGCGTTATCAGAATTATCAGTGTTCAGGTTATTAACATTGGCAGGTAGCAGTCAGTGCCGGCCTGCTAGCCAAAAAGTACCTTTTTTTTAATTTAAAGAAAAATAGGATTAAAAAAAAAATAAAAAAAAGCACTACTGTACAAATCTCACTCCACTTTCATGAGTGCCTCAAGATCTAATAGTCATACCCTCATGAATGACTGAATGTGTCTGAAAGTAGAGCAATGCTTGCGGAGTTTGCGGAAATTGCAAATCACGATTTAAATGAAGGAGATTACACTGAAAATATGTCACTTTTTGGAATCTCATTTATACATTGATAGTGGGATCTTGGTCCACTTGTCGAAGTGGAGTGAAACTTGTACATTAGTACCGAAATATGTACTATTAAGGTCGTAATGACAATTAAAATGACCGCAGAGTAGACATAGCTGAGAGGCAATAGAGGACCTAGTTCAGATCCGTTCTAGCTCATTGTTTGATACCTAGACATGGACACTTAGCTATTACTCAATTCCGCATCCGATAAAGAAAACAATGTTCAATGTTTATCTTCTGTATTATTTAAAAAAAAACAAAAGAGAGGGAAAACTTGGAAATTTTTGAGAAAAAGAAACTCGACTGGTCACAGATTGATTGGGCTCAGGGAAGGCATAAGAAGAGCAACAAAAGCGTAAGATTGCTTATTGATACCAGCCGGAGGCATGTGACAGAGGCTCTGTTGTCCCTCAGAACTGTTGCATTTACAACACAGTTTCTACATCCACAGGTATTTCTTTCCTCAAATATTCTAAAATAAAAAGTTTTATATATTTAGTGAAAAATAATCCAATTTTGTACGGTAAAAGTCATCCGGGTTACATGAGAACAAGAAATAAAGAACAGATATGGGATGAAATAAGTAAAGAACTAAACATGGAAAATGGTAAATGTGGTTGATTGTTATGACATCAATAGAAATACAGAATAGATTTTTATGAAAAAATATAGTTACATTTAAAAATAATATATATATATATATATATATATATATATATATATATATATATACATTTAAATATAATTACTATATAAGTAAAGAGCAATGGCCTCAAATAATTCTTGATTGGAGTCAAGGATGGCTCAGAAAAAGGTGGATATATGAAGCGAAGGAGGAGATGGCTTGCTGGGGTCTTCAGGGCTGGTTAAAAGGCAACCCTTGATGGAACACCTATATAATAATAATAATAATAAATAAAGTATTTTAAAGTTTATCATGTGACTTCTTGTAATAATATGTTTTGATATAAGTATAAGAAATTTATAACAAAATTAGAAATATCTTCTACAATACATTACATTGCCAGTCAACACTCTCTTGAAGTGATTTATAGAAATATTTAAACTTTTCTCGATTAAGAAAGAATTATTGCTTAATTAATTAATGCGCATTCCACAGTTTGTCGAGCTCGAGATAGTCTGGCGTTGAGCACTTTATTTTGGTAATTGTGGTGCTTGCTTCAGGATATGGGTACATAAAATTTTCCAGCAATGGAAACACCTTATCAGCCACAAACACAATGTATAGGTGATTCATTTCTAGGTAATTGCCTAAGAATAGGCAAATTTAATATTCTGTTGACCAAACGTTTCCTAATTGCTGAGTTACGGAAAATATTTCCCTCACTGAATCTTCCTATGGAACCAATCTTTTCAAAAGTAAAGCGATACTGAACATCTACTGTTGTCATTACAACTATGGAGAAAAATTGCTTGTAGTTGAAAACTCTAGAGCCGCTCAAAGCTGGTTTTTGAATTGTTTCACATGTTTAGTATCATTGTCGTCGAGGCAGTTAAAAAATTACCACATTCTCTCATACTCCAGTGCAATAGCTTCCCATAGTTCAACGTATGGTTGAAGTATACAGAAAGGTTACAAGTGTGACCATATTGCTCTACAAACCTGAGACACACTGTTGAAAACTGTTCTTTCTTTCATCCTGTAGCTTAGTGCTATTGTTTTAAACATACCCCTAGTTTCCAAGTACCTAAAAAGAAATATTAGGGTGATTATTGAATTATTTTATTTGTGTTCCAATATTTATAAATAAATGCTAATTATATATATATTTTTAAAAATATTTTTGATGCTACAGGAAAGAAGGCTAAAGACCATTGGACAAAGTTGAGAGACCGCCATCGTGATGCCCTACGCAGACAAAGAAAACAAAAAAGTGGGACATCAGGAACTGCAATCAGACCATGGACTTATCAAAAAGAGATGGAGTTCCTTATACCATTCATGGTTAATCGGTCTACCATTTCAAACATTTCAGATGAAACTGAACAACAGTCATCTGATCAGGAAGATGAGGTGTCAAATACCATGGTTGACACACCAGCTAGTTCTGAAACTTTTTGTAGTCCATATACCAAAAAGAAAAATTCTAAGTTGACCAATGTTTTGGAAAATAATTTTAAAAAATCTGAGGAAAGAGCTTTAAAACAAGACGAATTTCAAAATCTGTTACTAAAAAAGAAGGAAACTGAAATTTTAGAACAAAATGATGCTTTACAACAGTTTTTTAATTCTATGTATAATCTTACAAAAGTTATGCCGATACGATTTCAGCAGCAGATTAGAAGAAAATTATTTTCTGCAGTTTCAGAAGCTGAAGATAAAATTTATGCTCAATCTTCCAGCACTGAACCTTCACAATCCTCACCATCCACTACAAATACGGATTCAGAGTTGACTTTTAGGTATCCATCAAACTCCCACTAATATCATTCATAATGAACACAACAAAACAACACCAAATAGTTATACTTAGATTTGGACCTATTATTTCCAATTTAACATCAGAATCAATTGGGAATTGAAATAATCATTCATTCCCGATGTTTTTGGTGTTATCTTTTGATAGTAACGAGAACATACTTAATAGTTAATATAGCCTACTGTCTTGCTTCTTCTCAAGTGACGCAATGACGACAACGTCTGCAGCAAGAAGAGGAGGAAGAGAGAATCTGATATTCGTCCAGTCTTGTTTACCTAGTGCCCTTTAAAACTGTTGAGGTCCATACTTATCCCTTGGGCTAAACCTCAACAGTTACTCCTTGAGTAAGGGCAGTGTCATTCTAACAAGTCGACTTCATTTATTCGTTCTCCCGGTATCGCCATGGTGGACCTAGTTGAGAAGCCTCCAATGAACAACCTGAGCCCAAAGACGATAGAAGAGGAAAGAGGACTCATGACTCAGCCAGTACTGAAGCACCACAGTTTTCCTACCCTAGCTACTCCAGAAGAACATCCCCAAATTCTTGTGGCCAATAGATATGGCACCCTTAGGAACACAGCTACCTGACCAAAACTACCACTGCCTACAATCATCTTCCTTCCTGATACCCCAAGAAGCTCTGAGGAACACAATGAGAGATACAGAAATTACAAAGTTCTCCATAAATTCTTTGGTGAAAGAGACTTGCAGTTACCTGAAGTGTGAAAAGAGCCATTGTCAGGCAACACTGATGCTAAGGGAGTGTAAGGAAGTGCAGTTCCACAGTTTATCCTCGCACGGGACAAAACGTTTCGAAAATATTCATTATACAGATTTGACCTTGACTTACCAAAATTGTAAATAATCTCAAAGAATGGCTCCTGGGTTTCAGGCTCGCAAGCAAGTTGACTATAAAATATCTATCAGAAGTATTACCCTGACCCACTAAGCTAATCCAAGTGATCACTGAAGACAACATCAAGCTGGCCTATTTCATGAAACTGGGGGACATTGTGCATGTTCAATTTTGAGCTAGCATATTCAGAGATGGTGCCCCAGCCCAGTGCCCAGTGTGAAATTGTCAAGAGTTTGCGCACATTATGAAGTATTGTGGAACAGCTTGTGCGTGTTCCTGGTGTGAAGACACCCATACCATCCAAAAGTGTCAAAAGAACTGTGCCCTCTACATGTAAAAATTACCAAGGCAATCACTACACTTTATCCAGACACTGTGTGAAAAGTTAGGAACTAGTGAAGAAGCGAGAAGTAGCTCCTCTTAAGCTTAATGCCTCAAAGCAACAGAGTGAGATAGTACAGGTGAGCCTAGCATACTCCACAGCCAGTTGAGTTACCTCCACCACCATCAGACCCCACCATCTCATTAAAGGATACTTTCGAAATAGCTGCCTTGGAGTCCCGATCTGATTGTAAATGAATATAAAACTAAAAATGTGTTAATGGTAATATAAACCATGGCTTATTCTTCAGTATTGGTTTTTACAAGTTCTAAATATTGAAATTCTCCAATTAGGTAGGATGTGAACTCTTATAATGGAATATAAAAAATAAATATTAAAAAAATACTCTGTTAGACTTGATGATCACTCCAAAATGAATATAGCATAAATCCAAATGTCCCTGAATGCCATCTATATTCGAACCGATTAAAGGAAAATGGGACAGAAGTCGCTTTCCAGTGGATACCAGGCCATTGCGGGCTCCACGGAAATGATGAAGCTGACAAACGAGCCAGAATAGGTTCTGGAATGATCCAACCAGATATTCCTCTGGGCATGGATTCAACGAAAAGAATTATAAAACAGACCCTCCAAAGTTCACTGAAGGAGAAATATGTGCAAACAATTGAAGGAAAGCGATGGAGTGAATTGCTCGAAGAAAGTGGCAGGATCCCTAGTGGGCAAACCGTGGCATGTTTTAGAATGCTCACAGGCCATGATTTCCTTCAGAAGCACCTCCACCGCATCGGTGTAAAAGATAGAACGGCATGCCCTCTGTATTCCTTAGACATGATGACAGGAGAACGTCTTGATACATGCCCTGCATTACAGGACATAAGATGTTCCTTTAATGAAATGGACAGCCCTTATGCTCGGAGAGCAAATTATATTGGACTGCAAGAGCACGCATGGCTGATGAAGCAGGCATTACTTAGGCGTAGGAAAAAGAAAAAAGAAACTTGATGATCACCTATGAATTAGAGATGTTGCAAACGATCAAATCTAAAGAAAGTTTATTCATAAAGTTTGCGTATATATTTTATATATAGCATATAATATGGAAAAGCTTTGGACCTACTGATACACCGAGGAGGTTATGATAAGAAGTAGTATAGGACATAGTCGCCTGATGATGTAATTGATGCTAGAGTCACATTAGAAACTGGAATGCTGCAGAGTCAGCCGATGCAGGCTACTGAAAGAGGCACAGGCACATTAAGCAGAATTTCGTCCAATTATGTAAGTATGTTTGCATTAATATAAATAAGGAAGAAATCTTAAGAGTTTCTTTGAAAAAAAGATTAAATACGAAAAAATATTTAGTAAAACACAACTGTTCAGGTGTTCAAAAATTTTAATTTTATCTAATTAAAAACAAATGTGTTACATAAGTGGAAAAAAACACAAAACTTAGGTTTTCTACTTTTATACTAAATATTTTTCCATTGTTTATATGAACTTTTTTGTAACTCTTGAAGTCTGCTATCATTCCTATTAAAATTTTCCTCTACTTACGGGACACTGTATAATTGATGTAGAACCATCTCGGTATAATTTATTTTTACCATTGCCTCGTATGTAATTGTTTTATGTTTAGATAATATTTAATTATTTTCGTATATATATATTTTTTTATCAGTATTTTTTTTTTTTTTTATAGATGACAGTCCTCATCATTGTCCTCATTGTAACCACCATAAAAGACAGAATAGGACTTTTAAAAAAACATATAATGCACCATCATACAGGAGAGAAGCCTCATCAGTGTTCATTTTGCGACTATAAAGCTGTAAAACATTGTACTTTACAAAGATGTTGCTGTCACACTGGTCAGAAGCCTTCTAAATGTCCTCATAGTGATTAATTGATGTAATGAATTAGTGATGTAAAAAAATACATAATTTATCGTCAGACAGGTGAATAATTGTGATCTATGATAACCTTAAAAAATGTTTGTATTTCACCTATTCAAAAAGGTCAATAAAAGCCCCCTCTGCACACAGAAGTGATTTTTAATCACTATTTAAATTAAATTAGCATTTTAAAATTGGTTCTTTTCAAATATATGATTTAATGTTTTAATTGAGTATTTTTTTTTTTGTTACTTCAGAGTTGTATTTCAATTAAATTGAGATCATATTTATTATTTTATTAAATTTGTCTTTCAATTAAGAATTAAAGTTGCATTTATTACTTTATCAGCATTTTATTTCAATTAGAATTGGAATTGTATTTTTTACTTTATTAGAATTATTGTTTTTTATAAATTTAATTTATGGGTTTTATTTACAAAAAAAAAAAAGAATACAATTTAATTTATGGAAATAGACAGAATATTACTCAATAAAAAAACAAATTTTTGGATTAATGAAATTATATTCTAAATTTGATTTTACATAAACTACAGCATAGTGAACACATGTGTAGTTAATTTATAATTGCTCTATGTGGCTGATTGTTATGATAAAAAATAAAAATTATTAATTGAAATTTTTGTTTTATCTAAAATGGCTGTTACTAGAATAATGAAATTATTAATTGCCTGTTAATAACTAAATTGTAATATGTGTGTAAAATGGTTGTGGTAATTGATCTATTTTTTATTACCAATATTTTATTTTATCTTTCTGCTTATGTATAAATATTGCAAAAATATACTCCATTCACATCATAATACTTTATTTGTTGTTATTTATATTCAAATATTTAAAATAATTATTTTTTAATGAAATGAACAATATTTGATTTGATTGTAAAGTGTGCTGAGGTGGCAGGAAATCACTTGATACCTTACTACAATTTTTTAAAGTCTTTTTTTTTTCAATAAATTCTACACATTTTTGTAATTGTTCAATTTATGGAAATTTATCAATATGAAATTATTTTTATTTAAGAGGGTGTTTGTTTTCTTCATAAGTTGGAGTTTCCCTCAGCATAATTCCTCCCTCAGTCGGTTCCTCCACTTCTCTCTGTTCATTGCTTCCTCCTCCTTCAGCCCACAGCCTGCCATACTCTCAGCCATAACATATCTCCATCTCACATACAAAAATTTAAATTAAAAAATAAATGGCAATATAACTGGTCATCCAAATTTCTTTCATTTTTTATTCAAAACCCTCTGAATATAATGTACTTATTGTACAATATTTAAAATATGAGTAATAGCATTATCATAGAGTAGCAAAGGATTTAAAAAACATCTAATTTTGCGCTATATAAATCAGAGTGCAACCTTCAGAGTTTTTAAAATTTTACCATTAAAACCTCTTGGAATCTACTGACACCATATAATATACTTCAAAGCTCAAAGAACATGTTTTTATATATTTTAAAGTCATTGAAATTTCGAATTTTGGTAGAATGTCGGGAGTTCTATCCATTCTATGGGTTGATAGAATAGTTATTATTAACTATGAAGTAGATTGACAAAATTCCAGATCAGTCTTGCACTTGTTTTTTTTTTTATTAAATTCACTTATACCCCATGCCTTTTTCCTCAAATATTGTTTAGAGATATTGAATATTAAATAGTTGACCGATGTATTATAAAGGAAGGAGATGGTCCGGTGTGGTGGTCATAAATAGGATAAATAATGGCAAAACTATTTTATTAAAAGCCAACGTTTTGACCTGACTTTGCAGGTCTTCTTCAGGGCTAGGACAGACAAGATACAAAAAGATATAGAGAATCGTGGAAGTTACATAATATTTATACAAGACATTATAAACAATGTGAATAAGCTTATTAAAATAATAAACAGTAAGTACATTAAAATATAAACAGAGTAAGCTAAGTAACAATATGCTAAACTGAAGTAAATAGATGGGAACAATTGTTGTAGTGTAACATATAACATATGCAAATGTGAATATACTTCTGCAGATCTACAGGAGAGATTGAAAGAAAAGGAAAAAGGATATAATATGAAATAATAGACATAAAGGAATGTGGAGACAGATATGAAAAATGAAAACCAAAACATTTACTTATTTATTTTTTATTTTTAGCTTACTCTGTTTATATTTTAATGTACTTACTGTTTATAATTTTAATAAGCTTATTCACATTGTTTATAATTTTTTTTTCTAAATATCTTTTTGTATCTTGTCCGTTCTGGCCCTGAAGAAGACCTGCAAAGTCTGGTCGAAACGTTGGCTCTTAATAAAATAGTTTTGCCACTATTTAGCCTATTTATGACCGCCACCCCGAACCATCTCCTTCCTTTGTTTAAAGATGGTTGTTACTTTCACTTGCCTCCTATATATATTTTTTCTCCTACTTCGCCTTTTATGTCCAAATAGAGGAGTTTTTCCTGTGGAGGGCGTTGATTAATGCCTGAGTCAAAAGCCTCCCGTACTGGGAATCAAACTGTAATTATTAGTTTATCTTGTTGCAACAATATGTTTTGCACATGCGTTACCCTGCTTGTCCCCCTCGCGTTCTTTACTTTCCTAATATATGTGTATATATAATTTTTTTTTTTCGTCCACCCCTTCCTTGAAAAAAAGGAATATTCCAGGACTAGAGGACACCTTATTGGTCCTCTCCCGCCACCGAGACGCATTTTTAAAATTTATGTTATTTAAATCTTTACCTCTCCCGCTACCGAGACGCATTATTATAATTTAAACTACTCATATACTAACATGCTTCATTATTTTGTACGCGTCTATTTACTTCAAATGAGAAAACAACCTAAGCTGCAGCTATTCATGAAGTTTTCACTGATGTTAATAATTTAATAAAAGAGGTCCGAAACGTGGATTAATATAATGAAACTGCGATATTGATCGGTTGAGAAACTAAATTCTGAATTGCCAAAATATCAGCTGACCGAGGCAAGATGGACGCTCCTAAATGTTTAATGAATTGTAAATGGAGGAGGCAGATACGGTCACGAGCTGAAGTGGTCAGCCCATGAACTTTGCTAGTGATATTTCGTCTGACCTAACACGACGTTGATTCCGATTGCCAACATTCAGAGCCTCATATATCGGAATGTAACCGGTGCTAATGCTCCTCTTCCACCTCCAATGCCGTGTCAATCCCAACCTTCAGTCCTTATTGTTCAATCAAGTCCTGCATTCCTCAATGGAACGTGTCCGCCTTTCCTCAGCCAATAGGAACGCTTCAAGATATCAGGTAAATCCAAGGGAGGCATTCAGGCTGAAGATTTTTTTTATTGGTCAATCGGTTTCTATTCATTGATTTTTATTTAGTTGTTTATGTGTAGGCCATCTTTTTTATCTATTTTGTGATCAAATTATCTTACGATCCAAGTAGAAAGCAAATGTGTATTTACGAGTTTTTAGTACCTAATTAAATAAAGAAGGTTTGCCCTCCTCCAGATTGAAAACGCCCCTATTCCAAGAATTTTCGTAAATAAAATAGTTGTGGGCTATGATGAAATGAAACTATTTACGTAGTTTCAGGTGGGGATGTTAATAATTCGACGTTCATAGTCCGTGGGTCTGTACCACGGACTATGAATTAAGGAGCAAAAATAGATTTTTTTAACTTTTCTACCTATACTTGGTAGCGAAAGTATTGCGATCTGATCAAATTTCCGATATGCGGTCTTCGAAGGATCTATGTTTCAGAGTTCGAAAAACACATTTTTAGCCATTGGCCTCTCTGTCTGTGCCAACATTTTCTCGGGAACTAGTGAACCGATTTTGGTGCTCCTTTTTTTTATTTTGTAGGGTTTTGACTACTGATGCCTGTGACACAAATTGGGTGCTCCATGCGCAATAAATGAAAAAGCCTGTTTACTACATAAAAATCGTTCATTTTGGACAAATAATAACGAAGTTACAGCTATTCAATTTCCAATGTAACATAAGATTACGGGTTCATATCCTGGTGTCAGAAAAGGCTGAATGAGAGAGAAAAAAGATAACTAAGTGAAAGTAAGAAAATCTATTGCCTGCATCACAAAAGCTTCACTATGTATGTCCTTCATTTATATTTTCAGGAATGTTAATGTAATTCAATTTTTCTTTTTGTTTCTTAATGCAGATAGGTAAAGATATAAAAACTTTTCTGAAATAGGTAGTACAGTCGTGTGAGTGGACTCATCAGATTTTTTTCTATGGCATTCTGTGTGTATCTGTGCTGCATATCACTTTTTCGTCTCTCTGAAACTTTATAGATTTTGATGAATAAGGTATTAAATCAAATTTAAGAGAATAATAATTATGAGGAATCATAATTTCAAACCTTAGAATCTTATTAAACTGCTGATCAAAATTAAAGGGTCACCTACAAATATTAATATATTTTTTTTTAAATGGAAACAATAAATATTTCTCTGGTACCAAAATGAAATTAGTGTAAGCCTTTATCAATTGCATCTCCAAATTGTCAACTTTAATCACTCTTTAGGATTAAAATGATAACTTAAGCACATTTTCGGACTCTTGTTCACAATTCTACGTTAGTTTTGAATACGTACACGCATTTTAACATGCTTAAACCATGTTTTAGGCAAAAAGTTTTTTGTGAGATAATTTAGGACATTTCGTTAGCAAACATATTATTATTATTATATATAATTGTATTTACATATTACATCTCATTTCACTACGTTTATTAATTAGTGTTACTATCGATGTTTACAACATCGCCATTCCTCTAACTTCTTGAGGCGTAAAGTGAAATGTTCAAAAGTTTGTAATGTTGAACGAGTTACACCAATATTACACAAAATGAAAGAATCAAAATAATTATGAAGCAAATACTTGACACTTTTCTCTGTTTAAGCAGGTTAAATCGATATGTGTTAAAAAAAAAAATCGTTTCACTATATGTAATAACTTTAATTGTAAGGATATATATACCGAATTTTGAAAAATATGGCTAATTAAGAAGTGATAACTCGTATTTGCAAAAATACTTCTATATATTTGTCAGCTATTGTATAGTATGCATGTGTTTTAGTTGTTATTTTGATTAGGTTAGTTCTTTTGTTTATATACATTTATTTTTATTATTATTAGTTTCTGTATTATTTATTGTAAATAGAGTGTGAGTGTGCTCTCTGAACACAATTATAAATGTCCTTAATTGTAAGAGAATGTAATATTTCTAAATAAACAAATAAAAAATATATATATATTTGTCATAAAAAAAAAAACGCAATAGAAATGTATTTTTGCAACTTAAGATTATGTGTATTATTCATGACTTTAAAGAAAAAATATCAAAACACAAAAATAATTTAATTATAAAAACAAAAAAAAATTACTACGGAAATCCTTCCTCATCTTAGGGAAATGTACT